TCTCAAGGGACGAGTTGACAAGGATCCCCGAATGCAGTACATGCACCTTCTGCGCACAGAGGGCATGGTAGACGGCTCTTCAGAATGCGACATGCCGCTTGCTGAACGGATCCATCTGATAAAGAGCCAGAAGAGAGCTTGGGAGACCCTCTCACCTGAATGTATTGTCCCACTTCGAAGTGACTGGAATGGCGCTTATCCCGTGCGTCTTCGCTCGCTTTTCTCTTCGGCGAGATACTCACCAGCGATGGAATGTAGATCCCACAGCCGTTCAGACATGGAGCCCATTTTATAGACTACAACCGGCTTGACCCGGAACGGCCAGGCTTTTCAAGCTACTTTGACCCGTATCAAGACGTTTTGTTCTTGATACAGGCACCGCCTTCCTTCTCGACACAATATGTCGTTTGTATATTCATCACTTCTCTGAAGTCCAACGGCCAGCGCATTCACCCGCTAGCCTCAAAAACCGTTCTTTGGGTTGACAGGTCGGAAATCTGCCGACCGAGACTGTCTGTCAGTGGTGAACATCTTGCCGCGCTTTTCACGGACGGCGAACGGTCGGTTGTGATATGGAATTGGAAGACCGGCCAAAAGATTGTTGTGCGTCGCCTCTTTCTTTCATGTGATTCATATCTAAGGCAAGCTCTAGCACATGGCAATCTCTGAGTGGGAGTCCAGGCAACCCGACCGCTTCAGCGACTTTGTCTTTTTGTCTAGCAACGCTTTCATGATGGTCGGCTATAGCTGTCTGCACCTATATACTCTACCACGTACGATGGATGTCGGACTTCTCGCCGATGTCACACTCCAACTACCACCGCATAATTGTATAGCAGGCCAGGCTGGGGACATCATACGGTGTTTCACGGCACCTTTCTGCGGTACCCTTCCTCCAGAGTACACTGCGTTTCGACTAGATCCGCGGGAGCGCATTCACGTGCTCGAGATCTCCATGAACGACGAAGAACTGGCCGCGTACATCGTCATCAATACCGCCCAGCTATTGCGCATTTTGAATGACGTCTCGATACATAATGCTAAACCTGGTCAAACTCACACCGATTGGGAATTATGGGGCCCAACTCGAACAACTATTATCGCACTGCCCTGGGAGATGCGGGCAATCATTGATAACATGTCCGTTCAAATCCCTAGACATCGCTTATACGCTGACCGATCCTTTGCGCGGCAGGTCCATACACGGTACCCGAATGGCTATGTCCTGGATGATTTGCAAAGACCCACCACAATACCGACATGCTATATACGACTTCTCTCAGAAACGCGATCCGGGACGTACCGGTGGCAAAGCTCACACTGCCGTCGGAACGGGATTGCGAATGAGCTACGAGTTCTACGCGAACGGCAAGGGAGAGATTGCTGATAAAGCACTTTGTGGTGCCGTCTTCAAGAGTAGTGTTTATAACACGATGCCATTCTCCGTCACCGAATTGAGGCCTACATACTTTCGAAAGTTTCGTCAGCTTATCCTTGGAAGAGACTATATCCTGGCGCTAGTCCCCTCCCTCGGTGTGAGTAGCTCAAGTTCATGTTCCCTCCGCGTGTGACCTGAATGTTGAAATTGCAGGAATCCAGAAAAGATGCGGAACAGTTTGACTTCGATCCTGATGAAGCATGGCAGGTTCTCGAGAGGGATATGACCATTGCCGGCTTTCCCCCAGGTACTGGTCGGCTTGTCTTCGAGGGCGATTCTCAGGACCCGGACCGTTACCCGTTTCAGAGCTGCTTCTTCCTATTCTAACTACGATACGACTTATTTTCGGTTGACGCAGAGACTGTGAAGTGACATGTCTCGTACGCTCCGACTACATAAGTAGACACTGAAGGAGAAACCCTCTGCATATCTTATCCTGCCCCGGTCTCGAAGTGGATATTGCCCTCATTTATCGGCGATCAAATTCCCGGTGATTCCTGATAGCAACATTGATCGCGCCGGCGCATCTTGTTCTCGGACCCCCACATGCGTTATTTCTACGTCGCCTAGAGACTTATGACAATATTCTGCCTTCTGAGCGTGTCTAGTGGACGGCGCATGGCGCCTCCTATGTACTAGCAAGAGTACAGCCATGATGGCTCACAAGCGACGATTGGTGTTCCATTGTTCCATCAATGCCTTCGTGCGATCTATCATCTATGTGCGCTTGAGCACTGAGCCTATGCCAGCGAGCACCTGCACCTGGGAGGTTGGTCCCCTCGAGTATGTCCGTTCCAACCCCGGTACCTCCCTGAAAAGTGCGGCACGCATCTTCCCGCCCAATAGCATAGCATAGCTGATCATCTCCCGCCCAGATGATGTGAAGACGCGGCGTTGCTGGATAGCATCAACCACCCTCACGATCGCTTTGGGGTATCCCTTCCCTTTTCGCAGACAGCCAGCGGATAGCTCCCGCACTTGATGGCCACGGGAGAAGACTATTCCGAGCACCCCAGTCACGCTTGTAGTACACTTTCCTCAGTGTCTTCGGTCGTGTACAGCCGGCGAGCGCACAACTCCAGCCGTCTGTCATCGGTTCATGCGGGCTTGCCTGATCATGTATGCTTCGATCTTTGACTAAGTTTGTTCGACGGACCTCAGAAGAGTTTGAACTCTCCCGTGCGAGCGGCTGTAGAGCGCTTCGGCAGAGGAACATAAAGAAGGCAGATCCTTCTTCGTCTTCCTGACAGTCGCCCCGTTGTTCTGCTCGAGCTCCCGCGAAGTTTTTGCGCGACATGTCTGGCTTAGCAGGACTGGGCAGTAACCCTTTGTCCAACCCTGCCTTTGCGCCACTCACGGCGGAGTGGCTGTTTGCCCTCGATAGCGCTGTCAACTTCCTTATGATCGAGGCGACCATGGGGGCTGTCGAGGTTGTCATGCTTCTCGCCTTGCTATTCTTCTCTAACGGCACGACACGACGCAAACCAATCTTCGTGCTCAACCTAATAGCTCTCCTTTTTGGTCTCACACAAGCCGTCAATAACTTGTATCTAGAGGTGTGTACCCACACGTAGATGTCCATCAGTTGACTGATCTACCTTGCCTCAGATCTTTGCACTCACAAACCCTACTGGGACAATTCATTCGGCTAATATCATCCTCAGCGCCGTTCTATCCGGGATTGTGCCCACATATGTCGACTGCGTTCTTCTCCTCCGGCTACACGCCGCGTTCCCGCCCTATATCATCGGGCGCGAGCGATATGCCCTCGTCATGGGGTTCCCCATCTTGATCAGCCTTGGACGTTTAGGCAACGCCTTCGTCTACATTGTGAAGTACGCCAACAACGTGTATGCTCTCGCCAATAGCAGTGTAGGCGGTATCGCAGGCGGAGCCGTGTTGATCAACTCTCGTCTGCCTTCGGTCAAGGTTGAATGGATATTGCAAATTGCGGCGGATCTGTATGTTGTCAACTGTATTAAATCCCTCAGTCACACACTTAACGCACTTGCAGCTACTCGTCGGCGTTGTTCCTCTCGTGTTTCCAAGGTGCCACCCTGCTACGCTCGAAGACTAGCTTCTCCAAGAAGCTGTACACGCTATTCTGGCTGTCCGTGTCAAATTTTGTCTTCCCGGTCCTACTAAGCATCGCCCAACTCGCGGTGTACCTTGCCTCGCCGCGCCTGTATAACACGTCGCTATACATTGAGCAAGTGAACAACCATTTCACCATCATCTGCGTCGTTTTTGCCACAGTATGGGCGTTTCAGGGATCCTGGGAGGAAGCTCGCAATTACTCCTCGCGAAACTTCCGTCAGTCAACGCAGGAACACTCCAGAAGTAGCGAAGATATTGAATCGGAGATGAGGTTCAGGATACGGGCTCAAGGGCCGCCAGCGCCTATGGCGAATATCCTGTGCGATAAGCCTCCGAATGTCGAACCCGATTCGAAGGTGTCGTCTGGCTCTCCAGCTTCCTCTCATATGGACGAGTCCAGATTGGGCGGTCGAGGCACTCCCCATCATCACGTAGACATCGAGGTGGGACGCCTGGACTTGCACGGCACAGTGCTCTCTCGAATGGAATAGGTCGTCTAGTACTGAAGATCGAGTAGCATGTACTCTTACGAATGCAATGCAATGTACGGATTAGCTCTGTGTCAGTATTACCTCCTTTAGATGCCTACAGGCACATTGACACGTCGAGAGACCTCTACGTCCGACTCCCGCAGACCGCATGTCGTCGCAGCCAATGCGCCTTCTCAACTTTAATAAGCGAGCGTCTCGTAGACTCTTTTGCTTCACCTATACGAGAACAACAGTGGGTGATGCGGTCAGCCGGAACCCTGCCGGAAAAGGTGAAGAATAGCGCACGCGAGTCACGCATGCTGTGGTTGTCCGACCGTGAGAATGTGCCTGCATGAGTGGCGCGACCTCGTCCCGTCGCGTTGCGCGTTCTACTTGTCCGACTACCACCACCCTCCACCCTCCACCCTCCATTCTCCTTGCCAGCCTGACATTTGCATGGCGCCTTCTACGCGCTCAAGGACTGGGGCTATCCCTTCAGGGTCTCGCAAACGTATGGCAGAGTCGGACGACGAGGCTCAACCTGACGCGTCCTTAGCACCGGCGTCTCAACCACGGACTGGTGAGTCGGACAGCGTCCAGCCAGCCCTTACTACCTCTCACTGTCTGAAAGGCGCCCGTAAACGCACGAAACGTACTCACGATGACGCTGAGGTGCAGGCTCCGAAGCCAGCCGCGCGCGCGCCTCCACAGAAGGTTCGCGGACTGCTCAAGGCGTTGCCCGCCATGCCGCTCGATGTCCTCGAGGAAATCTTCACTCTATGCGACCCAGCTACTCTCGTCAGCGTTGCGCGCACGACCAAGGCATTCTGTCGTTTACTTCAGTCTTCGGCGTTTGCGTATGTGTGGCGCGAGGCTTTCGCTGTTAACGCCGATATCCCGCCGGCTCCTGATGGGTGGTCTCTTGTGCAGTGGGCTAGCCTTCTTTTCGGCGAACGGTGCTGCCAAGTGAGCCATGACTTCCTTGTACTATGCTAATAGCTGATACAATCTCAGTCTTGTCTTATAACGAAGGTCGACACTATATCATTCGGTATACTGAAGAGGTTATGCGAGCGATGCATACGGGCTAAGTGAGATCTCGGCAACTACTATCATCCGGTCTCAGGCATCATATCTGACCAACCTTCGATAGCTTGACGGAGTGCACCGAGAGTAAGATGGTCCACAACCTGAAGTCGTGGTCCTTGTCACTGTACATCCCGACGGCAACCATCCGAGAACTCGTACAGACGCGCTTCAGGGGTGCATATAGTGAGGCAGAAGTCCATTCTCTCCATCGATAGGTTCTGACGATGTACGAGCCAATGAATACGTCTTTGCGTATCAATCAGACCTGGACACACTCGTTGCTGGTTTACAGGCTGCGATCGAGTCCGGTGATCAAGATGGGCGAGAGTATCTTCCCGAGCAACGTAAGCTTGTTGAAGACCGAAGAAACGTGAGCCCGGCCTAAGTGTTCATGTTCTAGGTTTGCTATGGGATTCTGACAGACGTCCACAGCATGCATCGCACGCCGAGAAGTGGTACAGAGCCAAGATCGAGCGGGAAGCCAAACAAATAGAAGATGCAAAGAAGGCCCGCAAGCGGGAACTCAAAGATGCTAAGGAGGAACGGCGTGATGAGTATGTAACTCCCGCCATCACCATATTCTCTGCTGATATCGCTTCGTAGAATCATGCGCAGGATTAGAGAAGCTGGGTACGATACGCGCAAGGACATCACCGGCGTTCTGAAGCTCAAAGGTATCCACGTGGCGCAGCCGTTGACCGAAGATGGTCAGTCCATCTCGCCTTTAGTGTGTAGTCCTGCTAATAGTTCGAGAAGATTGGAAGCAACTGTGGCCGTCCATTGAACCTCTCGTGAAAGCCAGCAAAGCAAAGCGACTGGCTGAACGCGCCGAATCCCGTCTGAAGGACCGTATCACTTCTGCAGAGATTCGTCTCTGGGGCCACTGGACAAAGTTGGAGATGACCCAACGTGAACGCGCTTTCTGGCCGAGCATGGAGCGTATGCCCCATTTTGAACCCATGGCTAGCTTTCTCAAGCTTGACGTCGAGCAAACCCCATACGGTCGCCAGCCGGATGACTGGTACGATCGGCTGGAAGAACTTTTTGGCCCCACCGTGGACACTATCCGCCGCACAATACGCGAGCTCGACCTTGACCTTGCTCGTAAGATCGCATTCCCGCGCGTCAGCTCTCAGAACGACGATACTGAACGTCTGATCCAACTGGCGACGTCCGTTTTTACGGTGGGAAAGTCCAAGTCTAGTGCGCCGAACGACGTGTACGTGTACTTCGGGCGCGAAGTCCTGCTGGCCGCACGCGACCATGTCACTTGGCTGGAAGACCACCCCTTTAGCGATCCGCTTCCAGCGACATTCAGCGAGGCCGGTTCTGCTGTTGTGCGTCGTATCCTCGAGATATGTAAGCTCAAGCTCTCCACGACGATCCTCGAACTCGATAACCACGATGCGCACTTTATCTGCACAACCTGCGATCCCAAGGTGGAGACACCCAATGGAAGCCCGTGGGGTAAGCAGCTCCCATGTAGACGCGTCCTTTCCTGGAGAACTGCAGTGAGTGTTGCCACTTTCGGTTCTGAGATTCGCGTTGTCTCATGGCACTCTCTTTACGCAGGTTGAGCATGCATGCCATACCCACGGCGACGCTGGACCAAACTCATTCGATCTGCGGTTCCTGGACAAGGATGAACGTACTCTTTTGGGTGCGAAGTCATACAAGAAGATCGCGCGCTACTGTGACCACAACATCAAGCATGTAGTGCCAAACTGCTTCAGATGTAATCACTGCGATGATGACACTAATGAAATACCGCGAAACCGCCAGACGGCGAAGCACGGAGACGGGCTCCTGACGCTCAGGGAAGTGCTCAAGCACCTCCAGAATAAGTGAGCCCACCACGCCCGTCTACAGTTCAAGCGCTGATATTCTTCTGTACCTAGACATAACATCACAGTCGGAGCTGCGAAAGAGAACGCCGACTACTGGTATCATCCGCGACTTCGAAGGGGTCTGTTGAAGAGCACGACGACGGAGTTCCGCCTCATTGTTTGAGTTATGCTTGATCTGTACTGGCTGTATATGTAAGGATAATAATGTCCAATCTTTAATGAGATGTACATGAGTCAAGGAACGCCTGCAAGTAGTGACCGACTATGCATTGTTTTCAGACTGACTAGTATACGACGGTGTGTCGAAGCTATGCGTCGGACACGAGAGTACTGGCGGACATACGTCCGCCGTTTACCAAGGGGCCTTAATGGACATTGGAAAAGCACGGACATACGTCCGTATGAGTACATCCGCTCTTTCGTTTGAAGGGAGGAGTATAGGCGGGGATGGGAGTGCCGAGAGGCAGGAACGGAAGTTAGAGGTCCGCCGGACGTCTATCGGAAGTTCGAGGGGGTGACTCCTATTGACGTTTGAGCGGCAACGCGCATTCAGAAGGAGATAGAGCACGAAGGGGCAAGTGCTGCGCTGTACCAGAAGGAAGGTTAGGCGAAAAAAGAGCCTGCGTTGCCCACATGCATCTTGACGCTCAAGCTCGGAAAGCTGATGCATGCGCAGGGCGCACAATGGCCAAGGTAGATTGGGACCATTGATATCGAGGACACATATTATAGAAATAGAGGCTCACTGTAGGATGAATAACTCGAAGTACGCGTCTGCTATGAACTGATGCCCGCGACGTCGACGCTGAGTGCTGAGCACCCAGCGCGGCGGGACCCAATGATGCGGCGCTGATATGGACATGCGCGTCCCGCTCCGGGGTAAGTAACAGTTCCGCGATCTCTCGGCTGCACCGCGAACTAAGAGAAAGGCTCTCGCGTCACAAAGCATGTCAGAGAGAACCGAGTTAGACGAAGGCCAGTGCGAAGACCAGGAAAGCCACGCTATGGAGCGATTCAGCGTGAGCCTGCCTGCCGAGGATCGCGACTGTGCGGCGTGTGCGAGCGCAGTGCCGATTGCACTCTTCAGTTTCCTTGTGCTGGGGACGTTCTATCTAAAGCGCGATCGTACTAGAGCAACCCGCAGACAGTTTCTATACGGTGCAGACCTGTCGAGCCGTATCTCCGCGTCAGCCAATGTAGCGGATGGTGAACGCATTTGGTGCATGCGTGCACGCTGCCGAGACCCACAAATGCCTCCGGCAGATGCCCCCGACGGGAACATTTCGCCTTCGCGCATGGCACCGTGGGGGTTGACATCCGTGTACGAGTGTCAGGCAAGCTCCGTCCCAGAACGGCTTGCCATCCGGCGGAAGCGCTCCCTCTCAACAAATACAAGAAAGTAAGAGAGTACACATTGGAGCGAACGTGGCTTGATCGCACACCATACAGTGGTAGAGCACAGATCTTATCTCTATGTAGAGCCGATACGATGCCACTGTGCCTACCGCCGGCACAGCTGCAGGCTAGGGATCGGGCATGCCGCGGGCCGCGTTGGTTGTGATTGAATGTGGCCTGTGGGCGCAAGTCCACCGATGTGGCCGAAACTTTCCCGGGTCTGCGGGGGGGATCAATCCATGCGAGAAGTTGCGGAAAATATTTCGGACGGCCTGTTCAAATATTGTGTAGACGTCTCTGGTACGGTCGAAGGACTGGTCCAGTCAGAGATAGCCAGTTATACCGGGAACGGAACCGTGTGGACAATTCAATAGTGATGGTTGACTCGAAGCCGAGAGCGCGACGCGTCTTGATGCGGGGGCCGTAACGCAAGCATGATTTGTCGAAGGAATCATATCCGTTTGCCTGTGCCTGCGGAAAGTACATATAGTCTCAGGCCGAACAATCTTTCCCTCGTCTGCTTCAGTTCCGCATTTCCTGACAACTCTCGGTCTTCCGTACTCTCTTGACCAGAGCCACCATGTCCTCGGACGGGCACCTAGAGGAGAAACGCTCCCGGCCATCGACCGCCGCGACCACGGCGGCGGCCCCAGAGAAGGAGAAGGGCGACGAGAGCCCGAGCCCTACGCCCGCTCCTGCACCGGAGAAGAAGGGTTTCTTTGGCCGCAAGAAAAAGCAGCCTGTGGTCGAGGAGGAAAAGCCGGACGCCATCGCGATCGCGGCTGGTAAGGCGGACAAGGTCCCGCCAGTAGGCTTCACCCAGCTTTTCCGGTTCGTATAATCCGTTTGTTCACAGGCGCTTGCTCTGCTTACTCATATCCATAGCTTCTCTACCAAGTTTGAGCTTATGCTCGACGCAATCGGTATCGTGGCCGCTATCGCAGCTGGCGCGGCTCAGGTATGTCTTGTGGCGCTGAATCGGGTTCTCTTCGGCTCACGCAGTATTCAGCCCCTTATGTCCCTTCTCTTCGGCAACTTGACGAACCAGTTCGTCCAATTCGGTGCCGCCGTCAATCAACTTCAGGGGGACCCGACAAACACCACGCTTCAACAGTCGGTTGAAACTGCAGCTTCTCACTTCCGTCACGAGTCAGCCAATGATGCGCTGTATCTGGTCTGCATCGGTGAATCATATTCTTTATTAGAATTTTGTGACACAAGACTGACGAGCGTTTCAGGTATCGGCATGTTCGTTTGCACCTACGTCTACATGCTTACTTGGGTCTACACTGCGGAGGTCACGGCGAAGCGCATTCGCGAGCGTTATCTCCAGGCTACTCTTCGCCAGAACATCGCGTACTTCGACAAGGTCGGCGCCGGAGAGGTTGCTACTCGCATTCAGACGGATACGCACTTGATTCAGCAGGGTATCTCTGAAAAGGTTGCCCTCGTCGCCAATTTCCTTGCTGCTTTCGTCACCGGTTTCGTCCTGGCCTACATCCGTAACGCACGTCTCGCCGGTGCTCTCACGTGTATCCTGCCCTGCATTGGCATCACCGGCGCTATCATGAACAAGAGGGTCTCTACCTACATGCAGTAAGTCTCAGAACTCTTCACACGTCTTGGACTGCATCTAATAATCTCTCTAGGCAGTCTTTGGCGCACGTTGCCGACGGTGGTTCCTTCGCAGAGGAGGTAATCTCGACGGTCCGCACTGCCCAGGCGTTTGGCACGCAGAGGACGCTCGGCAAGCTGTACGACATTTCCGTCGCCAAGGCTTTCACTGTCGATAACAAGGCTGCTATGTGGCACGGTGGAGGTCTTGCCGTGTTTTTCTTCGTAATCTACTCGGCCTACGCTCTGGCTTTCGATTACGGTACCACTCTCATCAACCAGGGCCGCGCCAACGCTGGCGAGGTTATCAACGTATGTTCTTGTCATTGTAGAGTGTTTATACCCATAATCTGACCTTCACCCTAGGTCTTCCTCGCCATCCTCATCGGTTCGTTCTCTTTGGCGCTCATGGCTCCCGAGATGCAGGGTAAGCATTCTGACTCATCTGTTATACCTAATAGCGCACTGACCGTGACAATAGCCATCACGCACGGTCGTGGTGCCGCCGCCAAGCTCTACGCTACTATCGACCGCGTTCCTGAGATCGACTCATTTAGCGAGGAAGGTCTCAAGCCCGACTCTGTCGTTGGCGAGATCGAGCTCTGTGGCGTCGACTTCGCGTATCCCGCGCGTCCAGATGTTCAGATCGTCAAGGATCTTAACCTGAAGTTCACCGCAGGCAAGACTGCCGCCCTCGTTGGTGCTTCCGGTTCCGGCAAGTCCACGGTCATCTCCTTGGTAGAGCGCTTCTACGACCCTCTTGGTGGCTCCGTGAAGCTCGATGGTCGCGACCTCCGCGAATTGAACGTACGCTGGCTTCGCGGACAGATCGGCCTCGTCTCCCAGGAGCCGACGCTTTTCGCTACTACCATTGGTGGTAACATTATGCACGGTCTCATCAACACGCCCTATGAGAACGCCACTGTGGACGAGAAGATGAAGCTCGTCAAGGAGGCGGCCATCAAGGCGAACGCGGATGGTTTCATTTCCAAGCTCCCTCTGGGTTATGACACTATGGTCGGCGAGCGCGGTTTCCTCTTGTCCGGTGGTCAGAAGCAGCGCATCGCCATCGCTCGCGCCATCGTGTCGGACCCGCGCATCTTGCTCCTCGACGAGGCCACCTCCGCTCTCGATACGCAGTCCGAGGGTGTCGTCCAGCATGCGCTCGACAAGGCTGCCGCCGGACGTACTACGATTACCATTGCCCACCGCCTCTCGACCATTAAGGACGCCGACTGCATCTACGTCATGGGCGGTGGTGTCGTTCTCGAGGCCGGTCGTCACGAAGAGCTCCTACGCAACGAGGAAGGTCCGTACGCGCGTCTCGTCCAGGCTCAGCGCCTGCGCGAGGTCAAGGAGGCAGAGGCTGTTGAGGTTGGCGAGGACGAGAGCTCCGTGGAGGCCGAAGCCGTCGACGGCGAGAAGGACTACGAGAAGGCCGCTCAGGACGAGATCCCGCTTGGACGCCAAAACAGCAAGCAGTCGCTCGCGTCGGAAATCATCAAGCAACGTCAAGCTGCTGGCTCCCGCTCGGAGAAGAACTACAGCCTTTACTACCTCTTCAAGCGCATGGGCAAGATCAACTCCCATCGCTGGAGGCAATACCTCCTCGGCGCGTTCTTCGCCATTTGTACTGGTGCGGTCTACCCGGCGTTCGGTATTGTCTTCTCTCAGGCCATCAACGCGTTCGGTCTCACCGACCCGAATGAGCGTCGCCACCAGGGTGACCTCAACTCGCTCTGGTTCTTCATCATCTCGATCATTTCGGCCTTCACGATTGGCTTCCAGAACTACTTCTTCGCCTCTTCCGCTGCGTCGCTCACGGAGCGCCTCCGCTCGCTCTCCTTCAGGGCTGTCCTCCGCCAGGACATCGAGTACTTCGATCGCGACGAGAACAACACCGGTGCACTTGTGTCCAACCTTTCTGATGGCCCGCAGAAGGTCAACGGTCTCGCTGGTGTCACGCTCGGTGCCATCGTCCAGTCCATCTCCACGCTCATCCTCGGTGTTATACTCGGTCTCATCTTCATCTGGAAGATCGGTCTCGTCGGTCTTGCGTGCATCCCGCTCCTCATGTCTACCGGCTACATCCGTCTGCGCGTCGTTGTCCTCAAGGACCAGCACAACAAGAAGGCCCACGAGGAGAGTGCACAGCTCGCTTGCGAGGCAGCCGGTGCCATTCGTACGGTCGCGTCGCTCACGCGTGAGCAGGACTGCCTTCGTCTGTACTCCGAGTCACTCGAGGCCCCGCTCAAGGAGAGCAACCGCACGGGTATCTGGTCGAACGCGCTCTACGCTTTGTCGCAGTCGTTCACGTTCTTCGTCATCGCCTTGGTCTTCTGGTACGGTGCTCGCCTCGTCTCTTTCGGCGAGTTCACTAGCCGTGACTTCTTCGTTGGTAAGCTCACTGGTTTGCGCGTTACAGTATCGTGACTGATCAAATTCTCAGGTCTCATGTCCACTGTCTTCGGTGCTATCCAGGCCGGCAACGTCTTCTCGTTCGTCCCCGACATGTCGTCCGCGCAGGGCGCCGCTTCGGACATCGTCCGCCTCATGGACATCGTGCCTGAGGTTGACGCTGAGAGCACGGAGGGCAAGGTCCCGCAAAACGTTCAGGGCCACATCCGCGTTGAGGATGTCCACTTCCGTTACCCGACTCGCCCTGGTGTTCGTGTCCTCCGCGGTCTCAACCTTGACATCCGCCCCGGCACCTACGTCGCTCTTGTTGGCGCTTCCGGTTGCGGGAAGTCGACGGTGATTCAGCTCGTCGAGCGGTTCTACGACCCGCTTCACGGACAAGTGACGCTCGACGGTCAGGCCATCAATGAGTTCAACGTCCAGGAGTACCGCAAGAACATCGCACTCGTCTCGCAAGAGCCCACGCTCTATTCCGGCACCATCCGCTTCAACATCCTGCTCGGCGCGGCGAAGCCGCAAGAGGATGTTACCCAGGAGGAGATCGTACAGGCCTGCCGCAATGCGAACATCCTTGAGTTCATTGAGAGCCTGCCCCAGGGCTTCGATACCGAGGTTGGCGGTAAGGGCTCGCAGCTCTCCGGTGGTCAGAAGCAACGTATCGCCATTGCTCGCGCACTCCTCCGCAACCCTAAGGTGTTGTTGCTCGACGAGGCGACGTCCGCGCTCGACTCCAACTCGGAGAAGGTTGTGCAGACTGCGCTCGACCAGGCCGCCAAGGGACGTACGACCATCGCCATCGCTCACCGTTTGTCGACGATTCAGAACGCAGACTGCATGTACGTTCAACTTATCGCCTGTTCTTTGTCTTCCTGTATACTGACCATATCCATAGTTACTTCATCAAGGAGGGCCAGGTCGCGGAACAGGGCACGCACGACGAGCTCATCAGCCGCAAGGGCGACTACTACGAGTACGTGCAGCTTCAAGCACTCTCGAAGGCCACATAGAAGGTCCTGTACTCGCACTCGCCCTCTTCCCATGCATCCTGCTTTCGCTCGTCGCTTTGCATCGCATAGATACCATACGCATATTTCATACATCATTATTCCCTTTGGCACGTAATTCCCCGGATCCCACTCCCGCTTCTGCTTTTCGTCTGCGTCTGCTTTTCGCAATGCCCATTACGGCGTGTTCACGATGTATAATGCCCCCTTCTCGCGGACTCCTACTACAGATGACCTCTCCGCTTTCTGCCACGTATAAACTGTGCTCCGGCTCGCCTCCGAACACTCGCTATTCACTTCATCGACGCTCGGCCTTTCGGCGTCGTGGTGTATGTAGTTACTCTTCATAGGGATTACTATACTCATCATCAATCACATCGGTCCGCTTGCACACATCCACACTTTCCTTTGTCAGATCTCTCTCTCTCCCGCCCACCTCGGCACACCTCTCTTTTTCCTTGGTCTTAGCTTAGCCTTGTCGTTTCTCTGCTCATGTACGGGCAATGGTATAATGGAAATCATCAGAATTTGGTATTTACACCGTGTGCGATGTTTGGGCGCCTATTTTGACCGGTTCGCGCGGCTGTACGCTCTGCGCAGAGGCTGATTCGTCCTGAACAACCATGTCAGCTCGTATCGCCATACACTATGCGCCATCGTCGCCATTTTCTGTCATGCGCTTGTATACCGCTTAGACTCAATATGAAGGAGAAGTATCCGTTGGCCAACCGGATACATCCCGCGAGCCGCTCGATCACCGGTCTATATTGCCTGATCCCTTCCCCCTCGCAACACGACATGGAGGTCTGGAGTATATAGCCACTGGTGCAACTCGGACTGCTCGCCGCATTCGAGAATTGGGTTGCTCTTTGATCTTCATGAAGACTGGGTTCATCGCCCTCCCGGCCGTTCTTGCGCCTTTGGTAGCAGCTCAAGCGGCCTCCATAGCGTATGTCCACTCCTCTTAGTGCTCGAAATCTTGCAACTGACATCTAGACTGACAGGGCGGGACAGACAGCGCATGTACGGTCCGAGATCAGTGCGTGTATAGACATGTTGTGCTTTGCCAGGCGCTTAACAATATTCTCAGATTCCACTCTTTGCATGGGCACCGTCGACGCAGCAGCATCGAGTGCATCACTCTCGCTATCTACCTGTGGCGACGGCAATCCGACGGATCTCACCGCTCTCACTGTGACAAAGGGTAGCGGCGCGAGCTCACAGCTCTTGTTGTCGGGATCAAGCCAGCTGTGCGTTACAAGTCAGAACGCCAGTCCCTCCTCGGATGTCACTGTAGTCGCCTGCGCGGACGATTCTTCACAGCTCTGGACCATCAACTCGAATGGGACCGTGTCAAGTAGCGGGAATTGCTTGACAGTAGGAAAGGCCGCACTGGGTGCACCCGTACGTACCCTTCCCGCAGAGATATATGACTACTGATCATCGCTACAGGTTACCTTCACTGGGTGCAGCACATCCTTGGAGCGGCAACAGGTCTTCAATGTCACTGCCGCCGACGGCTCGTCGTCTTCCGCTTCATTTTCTTCTTCGTCATCTTCCTTCACTACTACCAGTACTTCGCCAACAGCCACGGCTCCCTTTGCTTCGGCAACCTCTTCAAGCGGTGCCGAAGCGCTTGTCAGTCGGCATCATGACCTCGCGGCCGCCATCCTCACATTGTTGTCCTTGCACAGACTCTGGTAGCCCCCACATATGACTGTAATTGCTCTGCTCCCCCCATATACCCATATGCCTTCAGAATGATACGACGTGTTCATCACTCTCGTAGGGTCATCTAGTCAAAGTATGGCATTGGGCAGCGCAGTTATTACAGGGAGATATTACAATGAGTATACAGAGCAAAAAGAGCAAACAGCGACAGCGAAGTCGTTGAAAGAATGAAGAATGAGATAGACATCAAAGCATAGGTGATCATGAAACGGTCGTAGAGCGTGAGTGCGGCTGCAGGTTGAGTTAAGCCGTGACACCGGCCTCGGCCTCCTTCGTCATGCGAGCGTTGGTGGAGGGCTGGTAGCCGTTGAGGGCGACGTCATGGTGAGCCCACAGGAAGTAGGTGACGAAGCCAGAGAAGACTGAACAGGACCATGAGCTTGGTGAACCCAAGGGACTGTGCAACCTTCGACTTACTGAGGACATCGAGAACACCGTACCAGATCATCTCGCCGACGACACCGATTTCGTTGCCGCCCTCGCAGAGACCCCAACCGAGAGGGTAGAGGAGAGCGAGGAAGCTGAGGAGACCAGCAGAACCGCGATACGCGCCAATGGTACGACCAGTGGGGCTGGGGAAGGCAATGCGGCTGGGCGCAGCCCACATGTGGCCGCTGAGCAAGTCAAGTGTCAGTACAAGCGCAGCAAGGAAAGTTCATAACACTACACTCACATGACGTAAAAGAGCGAGAACACGCCCATCACGAAGTATCCCCACTGAGAGAAGGCGTAAGTCCCATCGTATGAGTAATCGACCAACTCTAACGAACCTTGTACGAAGTGCGAACAAGAGCACCGACGAGACCGCAGACAACGGTCACGACAGTCATGAAGAGTGCAGTAAACACGCTGCCCAAGGGGAAGCCGGTGCCGACGTAGACCATGAGGAGCAGGGCAGGCGCATTGATGAACCACATAATGTAGCGCACATACTGTTCTCGGCTTTAGTATATGATCCTCGGTCCCAAGGACTCTGACTAAGACTTACCCAGATCGCGCGCGTCGCACCAGGACCCTCGCCGTGGAACTCAGGAGCGATGGGAGTAGAGCCCAAGTTCGAAGCCATGGAGAAGTACGCAACGGATGCGGTCGTAAGGATGATGATGGCGAGTTGGTGGAGGAGGTAGTTGTTCACCCTCTGTTGACGCGCGTCAACACCGCACATAGCAGGTAAAAGGTGGCCCATAGCTTACCTTGAAGTTGAACAGGACGACAAGAATATCCGTGAGCAGGAGGACAGCAAACGCTGCCCACAGCCAGTCTGTTGAGCCATTGGTTTGGGCGATGACCGCAGTGCTAGGGTTGGTTTGGATGGAGTCGAGGATACTGCCAAAGGTCATGGTTGTGGTCGTGAAGGGCGTTCAAAGGACTACGCGGCAAACAAATGCGTTAGAACTTGGGGTTCCAGTGAGCCCATGACTAGGGCCTTATATACTTATCCCAAAGAAGTCGTCAAAGTTCTACGCGAGGCTAGGACGCACTTTCCGAAAGCCGCCGTCCTTCGCCGAGTGGGCATCGACCCACCGCCGAAGAGGCAAGCGCCCTACCGGGACGGTCGCGCCCATGAGCAGGACGTAAGCTACCCACCCTCAACCGCATTATTCATGACGCACGAAGCGCGTAAAGGTAAGCGGCCGGCGCTAAGTTGTGAACAAGGCAGGCGCTTTGCGCCCCGACTCTCCGCCTCTCCGTCCGGTCAACGTCGGACACGCACGCGGGGTCTCCTTGAGCCGGAGTGGCAAGGACTGCCCAGTACTCGGGAGAGTGAGCCTCGTATACGAGAGACCTCGTACTCCGCACGTACAGCAGACCTCATCCTAGGCTGTATGTGGAAGGAACCATAGTCGTATGTACACGAGATGGCCTCATGTAAGGAATATGAATCCCGAGAATCGCCGCGGTGCGAATGACCATCAGAGTTGCGCTGTGCGTCTCGAGACTCGAGATATCATTGAATCAACGAGTTGGTCCGGCTAGAAGCTAGTCGGCGTCAGACCACGACGTAGAACTGAACAAGAATTTGTGAGTGTAGGCCGCCGAGAATGCAGCAGTAGGCCGCCCACCGGGTGATTGAGCTTACGGAGCCGAAGCCGACTAGCTAGCGTATTCCTGCACATAAGCTGACAAATAGAAGCTCGTCGGAAGACATTGCGCATAGTTGTTAGAGGGGTGGAATGACCGAGAAGGGGATCGAGAAGTGAAGTCGAGAGCAGTCCATAAAGCGACTCGATGCGTCATCTTGCGCGCGAAGCATTGAGTTCGGACCACTTTCTACTTCGGGAGAGGCATCTCTGCCGTCAGGCGTATACCGCTAGAGCCACAGATGACCCTCGGAGTCGACATGTGCAGAAGTCATGAGAGGTGTGCTTCTCGTTCGTCGGAGTGCGAGCAGCGCTCCGAGTTTACGCGCCCAACGTGCGTTGACCCGTGGCACGTTCGGGGACAAGTATCGCTTATGCAGACTGCATAGAGGGGCGTGTATTGTCTTCGAGCAGCTAGCACCGCGCAGGTGTAGTATGGAAGTCGAGTGCCGGCGTAGGACAGTGGGCGCTCCGGACGAGCCTGATGAGTCCTCGCTCGCTGTCTACTACGCGACGACCGGCAAGTTCCGTACTCACCCAAAGACTCGCCCAGCATTGGCCCAGCAAGACATCATGCATCATCCACCATCAACAGACCAGATAACCGAGTCTCGAGGCGTTGAGTGTCACATCTTTGTCAAGAAAGAGCGGTCGGTGGCGTGGTTGGACGTTGTGGCGCGGGACGTCGATCAGGATGAAGTGAACTTATCCGCGAACGGCCATCTTGCACGCGCCTTGGCGCTCACTCAATCAAGCATACTATCTGAGCTTTACTCGATCGTCTAGACCACCTCGCTATGTCTACTTCCACGAAAGCTCTACTGGAAGCATCGGAGCCAATCGCTCAGGGTGCTGAAGCAGCACGTACCATCCATCCAACGTCCTAAAACAGGCCTTCACGCACGTTCTCAGAAAGTCTTCAAGGGATCCTTACACGCCTCCGGAAGCTCAGAAGGCGTACCGATTCTTCTGAAGCAGCGGTTTGCTAAGCAATATCGTCATCCGACACTCGATGCAGGACTCACTAAAGCTCGAGTCGCTGGCGAAGCGCGCGCTTTACTCAAGTGCTTACGGTGTGTGATATCTCCATCCCTATACCTTGGATGCAACACGATATTGATTGACGAAAGGATAGATCTGGCGTGAACGTGCCTGGTATACGATTGGTAGATGCGCCAGCTGGGGTTCTGGGTATCGAATGGATCGACGGACGGAGCGTGCGATTCTTGCTTGGATCTGGTGATGAAGGTGTGGAGGAAGAGTATGAGGAAGGTGATGAAGAAGTAGAAGATGCACCTCTCGATGAGGAGGATCCTCTGAAAGAGTACGGCGTCGCGCAAGGTATGTGTTTGAGCTACATATATGAGTAGGGAACGAGATGAAGACGGACAGACGATGTCATGCAGATGATCGGTACGGAAATTGCCAAAATGCACCAGGCGGACATCGTCCATGGTGACCTCACAACTTCGAATATGATGTTACGTCGACCCTCGGCCACACCTTCAGGAGCAAGCTCACTGGTACCTCTTCTAACCAGTCATCCGCTCCTGCTGTACGCTGACATCACCCTGTAGTTCATCATTGACTTTGGTCTTGCATACACCTCTACCCTTGCGGAAGATAAAGCTGTTGATCTCTACGTCCTTGAGCGCGCATTCTCGTCGACACATCCAGACTCCGCACCCCTGTTTGCTCGCGTTCTGCAGGCGTATGAGCAACATCTCGGCAAGGGCTGGCCTGCGGTGAAGAAGAAGCTTGATGAAGGTATGTGGCACAGTCGCCGTTGCTGTTTCATCAACTCACTGCTGTACACCTCAGTTCGTCTGCGTGGGCGTAAACGTAGCATGGTCGGATAGATGTACATCATATAAACAACAACTGTAGCATATACAAATGGCAAGGCCTACGTATCCGTCGAATCTCGGCGAAGACGATCTCCGTTGTGGACCGGCTGCGTGATAAGCTCTGCCGAAGTTGCCGAGGCGACAACGGTTTGATGCGCTGATGGCGTGCATTGTCGGGAAGATGTCACGATCTTCCCCTTTCCATCTTCGTCGATGTCTTCCACTTAGCGGAATATACCGGTGTACAACATCTCGCAAGCCCCTCATAGACACACACGAGCAGTCGGCCCACCGAGTCCTGCAAGAGGAGATGTCGTTCCGTCGAAAGAGCGGAAGCAAGACCATCGATCGTTGAAGCGGCCCCTGCGCACCTGGCCGCGTGTCACGATGCAAGCCAGCGATAGGCGTGGCGGCTATTTAAAATTTCTCACCTCATCATGGCGATGTAACAAGCAAGAGAGGCCACTTTTTTGCTCCTTGTCGACGAACCACTCGTTACGCCGGGCGTGCTCCCTTCTACCTCACGCCGTTGAACTCGAGGCCCTCCGCGCACGCATCTCGCGTTTTTCTACCATAGAAAACCTCTTTTCCTGCCGATCTGGACCGGAGACGCACTCTTTAGCCCGCGCGTTGCTTGGGGGTTGCTAGTTCGTTGTCTGAGCGTAATCGACTGCTGGGAGTCGGTATTCTGCTTTATGGAGGTCGTAGATCCCAGACCGATGGCGTGGCACCCGTCCGAGCACTCTACTTCGTCTAAACCTGGTGAAAGCTCAAACGGAACTCCAGTCTTGCGTTCGGCTGCTTCGGATGCGCGATTCTGCCTACGTAGCACCTGTGGGCATGTCAAGCTTCCTCCGACCTCTCAATGGGCGTATCCGCTATGCCCACCTTGCCTCGAGACAACGCGTCTCAGGGAAGCTAGCGCTAAGGCAGCACACTCCCCGAACCAGACGAGGCGAGGGTCGACGACTGGCAGCGTGCCCGGCCAGCCCAGCCCTACTACAAGACCGATGGCGCCACCTCCTCCGCCAAACGTGAGTTTACAAGTACTTCTTTTGACTGGATAGCAACTCACGTGTTGCCAAGATCATTGTCGTCCCATGTCACTTCTGCCCTACTCGCGTAGCAGTACCGCCAGGACAGCCTCCAGGCGCGCCTTTACTCTGCAAGCCGTGCTTCGAGCGTGCGATACGGGACAAGCAGAAGCAAACGCCCCCACTTCCAGGGTCCGCACCACCGCAGAGTATGGCACATCGACCAGGCCCACGACCGCCTCCTCTGCCACGCCAAGTCTCTTTGAGCAATCAGGCCAACATACGAATAGCACATAGCCTCTCTCCTGTTACGCCTACATTTGCCAAACGACCTTCCATGGCAATACCACAACACCCTATACCATCAAGCCGTATGCTAACTTCAGCAACCGTGAGTCGGTAGCTAGTAAACATGACAAGTATACTGATGAACTCTAGCCACCCTCGGCATCGCCTCGACTACATCATACGAACTCAGGCGGACCGATCGCACTCCCTGCCACTCCCCCATTCTTGCCCGTGGCTACTCCGTCTCCTGCCAGTTTACCTGCCGCTACAACAGTAGACGACGACTCAGACTCGGATGACCTCCAGTTGCTATATCCCGAGGTACGATAGATTGCATCGATGAAGTATACACGTTGCTGACTCCACCCATGTCTAGTCAGACGATGAGTCGACGTCTGGCGATCCAGCGCCAGCCTCGGAAGCTACGACAATCGTTAGCACTGAGAAGACCCCAGCAAGCAGCACCGATACTCCGGCACCCTCAAGCACGCCAGCCATCCCTCAGCTATGGACGGACGAACTCTCTGAATTATCATCATTGTCAGATCCCGATAGCAGCGCCGACGAAAGCGAATCTGCAGATGAACCGCTGGTGAGTCTGCATGTCACAGATCGCGACGTAGGCTGATAACTTGCGCAGATGATATCCATCAAGCGGCGTAGAGTCTCGTCTAGTGGCCTCAAGATTCGCATTCGCATCCCCTCCGGCTTCAAGTTCGGTCAAGAGAATAAACCTCAAGCACTTGCAGGGGCGCCGCCGCGCCCATGCGGCATGTCGAGCTGCAAGCGCACCGTGGAAGCAAAGTCGCGGTGGAAACTCTGCACTGTTTGCCGGTCCAAGTACCGGAAGTATCAGCGCAAGAGGATAGGCGTCGTAAATCCTCGCTGGGATTTAGAAGACGAAGAGCCCGAGCCGGCAATGGTTCATACCCAAGATGCCGAGATCAATACAGCCGAGGCAGCTGCACATGTACGCAGTCCCTATTCGAGATCGCTGCGATTTAGCTCACGCACATGCAGGCTCTTCTCTCCAAAGAGGAATCGCGCAAATGCAGCAATCCTTGGTGCAGCCGTCGCATACCGTTCGAGAACGAATACGAGTACAAGCAGTGTATTAAGTGTCGCGTGCGTGGGCGCTGGAACGTCAAGAAGCGGCGCATCATCAGCAAGCACTACGATCGTGGGAAAGAGCATGTTGGCATCTCGACTCATATCATCAACGAGTACAATCGGCTCAAAGCCAGGCGTCGCAAACTTGGTATCGTAGACGAAGCGCCGCCACCCGACCAGCCGATCAGCGAGCCAGGCGGGAGGGCGTACCCTATCTTTCAGAACCTGAAAGACTGCCTACTTGCGATGCGCCTCTACACGGAAGACTTTCTTCGCGCACACACTTTGTACATCCGTACTATGCTTGATCGTGGGGCCGAGGACAAGGCGACGGCACCGTGCGGTTTTGCCTTCGATGGCCAGTTCTCCATGGTCGCCAATTGGTCTATTCGCAGCCACAAGACCGAGCGCCTCGTCACGGATATCTGGGATACCCTCGAGAGTGATCTCAAGCTGAAGCTGACGTACGTGCATTTAGGCTATCGAGATTGTTATTGCTGTGCTGACGCTCGACAGTGCTCCAACTCACCCGTGGCTCGATGCCGGCGCGCTTGTCACGCGCTTGTTCTGCGAGCGGCCGTTCTCCCTTCCCATCCCACCGTCTGATCCAGTTTTGCTTGGAGAAGCTGCGATACTTACGGCCGAACCTCACGTTCACGACAACTTACCTGCCTCGAACACCGGCCATCCGACCGACACGAAGTTGGAGAACACAGACAAGACGTCGCCATCAGACTCGCTCGTGAACGCTTCCTCCTCACTAGAGTCTGAGATAAGTGTAAACGTTCGCACGCTCGATGAACCTTCGATCACGACATCCCCGGCTGTTGAGCCGACAGGCGATCCAACTGCTCCTGCGAAGCTTGAGGCAGCTTCAAGCGTGTCCGCTGTCGAGAGTCTGCCTGATGTTGAGATGACCGAAGGCGATCTATCTTCTGTGAAGCTAGTGCCGCGTTCTCCAGAAGATTTGTCTTTGACACCGGCGGCGCCAGCTCACAAGAGCGTGGAGCCCCGACCACAGCACTCTACCTCAATGGCTACGATGAACGCCGGGTCCATCACACGCTCGCCAGAAGCGGCGCTCGTTGCTGATTGCGCTCGTGTTACATCTACCCCCGAATCCTCCCACCAGCCGAATGGGGATATGCTCACGCTGTCAATGGATGATCTCCCGGTGGACGACGTGCCGTACGAGGACGACGATAGCCCGTCTACGTCCCGTGCAGCATCCCCCTCTTTCCGCGATGACGGCCCCCTACTGCCTGAGGGCGTGATCATGGACCGCAACATGCTAGTTGAAGTCGAGGTCCGTGTTTCCGAAGACAAGAGCAATAAGTTTATACCTGGCCATCGCATCGCTATCCGTTTCCGTCTCGTTGTATGATATACCCTCTCATATCCCGCCTTCCATGCCTACGCATCCCTGCATCATGCTTTGCTTGTCGTTGTACTTATCCTATTCCCCCTACCCGCTTGTCATCTTTCGTGCCCCGGGCCCCTACGATCAACCAAATACGCTGTGGACATCCAATGTACCGTACCCTCGTATTACTCACCATCTTACGCTTACTCTGCTACTTGAACTGTTGCGCTACTCTGCGTCTTCGGTTCCGTATCTTCTATATTTGTATTGTGATGCTATGTACGGTACCTAGCTTCCTCTATATGGGTCATGCCCAATCCCGATCACCCCTCCCGACATGTTACGCTTGGACTAGTCCCGTTGTAAGCATCCTCCCCTGAACATGCTACAGCTTGACTAACCTCGTCCTGTGTTTGCAGTGTAATGGAGCGCCAGCGATTCAATGCAAGTATACATGCTCGCTTCTCGACATCAGCTTCTCGTTCGATGTCATCATGTTCTCGTCCCGCCCCCCACGATCCTTGGACTTCCGATGGGCCTCGGGGCCACCTGCTTCAAGCGTCTCGCGATTGTATTGGTTCCTCGCTTTGGGAAATCGTACAGCTATCCACGCCCCGTGTCTACCCATGCGTGTCTGAGGGTTTCCCTCCGCAATCAATCTCGCTCTCATGCTCTCATCTGATGAATCGTATCGCTCTCGGGAAGATTGTGTTCGGAGAGCCTCACCGAACGTCAATATCAAGTACGAGCCTTGTCCGGCTACGTAGCGCTCATCTTGCCTGCGCTGCCTCCCCTCCCTCTTCCGCACAAGCTCACCGCCTTGCCTTCTCCCGCCGCGAGCTGGAATGCAGAGCTACACTGACAGCTTCGCCGACCTTGCCGAGATGAGCAGCGCTTTGTTGGTACGTTGACAATTGGGCCTTCCCAGGCGTTCAAGGACTGAAGTCGAGTATAGGACCTTGTACCAGTTGTACTTGGAAGCACCACGGCCTCTAGATACGAGCGCCGCTCAGAGTCATCATCGTCGTGCGTCTACGTCCAAGTGGATCTTCTACACGAGCTGATGTACTCTTAAGCTCGCGCACTTTGTTGATAGCTCTTCCCACCGTCCTTGGGATCCTCCTCATGTGTCTCCTCGCCGCCATCTGGTACCGCCGTCGCCGACTACTGTCCCAAGCCGACGCGGATGACAATGAGAAGTCCATCACGCCCTACACTGAGAGTTCCCCTCCCTCGGGTGCACCCACGCGCAACTCAACCATACGCCGCGCAGCCACGGTGAGTTGTGCGAGCGCTACGGGAGAGACCAAAGAGTGCGACGCGGCGAGCGTAGAGTTGGGCTATCAGTCGCGGCGTGATATTCTCCACCTCCTGCGATGGGCAGATGGCAACAATTCAAACGGGCGTCTGAGCAGGGTCAGCAAACAAGGTCCGCCACTACATCCACCGCCTTCGAAGCCTTTGCCTGCAGTCCCTCCGTCACTGTACGGGGACGATACAAAGTCGCCCATCTCTCCGATATCACCATCGTCCCTGCTCTCGTCACCCCTTGCGCGCACCCCGACGGCAACGAAGACGAAAGTCGAGAAGAAGCGCTCGTGGCGGCAATCTATCCTCAGGCGCTCATCTTCTTTTGGGACCTTGCGCCGATCCCGCCGCGAGCAGACGCCCCCACCTGAGCTGCCCACGTATGATCCGACAAGATCGTACCGAGATATACCGCCACTGCTCCTTTCGCCTACGTATACCGTGCATTCGCCGGACTCTCCATGGAGCTTGTCGTCGTTCCTGTCCGCCGTATCACCGAGGTCACCGATACGCCCGTTACCACCCTTGCCGAGCGTTGCACCGCGACCTGCGGCCCCCGAGACGCCATCTTTATCACCGAGCAGATCGAGGGAAGGACTGCTAGACCCGCAGAGCGAGCTTCATATGGACAATACTACCCTCGCGAGCACAGTGGCTTCTGCGACGGAATCTGAGCGACATAGGATCGACGTTGTTCGGGCGATTGATGATGCGGCTGCGGTTCAGCCGCCACCTTACGCATGGCCTGGTGGAAGGCAAGCAGCAGTTCGAGCATCTGGATTGGAGCCCCTGGACTCATGGCACTTGCAGGCATCGCAGCGTGGACTGGGATGCCCACGGAGGGGCAGGGAGCAAGTTCTCTGATTAGGTATCATGCAAGTTTCATTGTTATATATCCATGCCCACGCTCCTTCATTCACGCCTTACGATGTACTTATACCCTGACATCTGTATCTCTATTTTGACCATGCACGACAACGAGTCAATCGAGTTCACATTCGAGACAGATCGCTTCCATGAACGAGTTGTGCTCTGAGCATCAGCTATATATACGTATCCAGCGAGTCCGCGTACATCCGCCGAGATAGATTCACGGAAAGCACTACGCTGGTCGCATCGCATGATCATGCGTCATGGCCTAAATTGGGTACATGCTTCGCCCTCACCACCCGTGTTTCTTCCTCGGTGGTCTGAACATCATCATCAAGTTCCGACATTGCGGGAAGAGAATCGTGCGCAAGGGTCGTTGTCTTCCATGCCTTGCCATCTGCAGGGCGATATATGATCAGGTACGTTGAAATTTGCTGCAAGATTCAGGTTAACCAAGTCCTCGAGTGAGGTGGATCAGATACATGCATACCTGCATGGCATGAGCGAGAGCAGGAAAGACCTAGTCAATCCCATTGTTGACAGCGTATAATACGAGGAAGCAGACGGCGAGGATCGAGTAGAGCGCCGCGCTCTCAATCAGTATGGTTGCGAGCGAGAGATAGTGTTTCGCGTATGAGGCCAGCAAGCTGGACATGATGCTTGCTCGATACTGGAGTAAGCGACCGATGATAAGGAGGGTAAGGATCACATTGGTCGAGAGTGAGATGGTAAAGTAAGAAATCCCAAACGCCCACGGCAGTGCCGAATAGATGGTCCAGTCAGGCTGTGATGATTCCAGCGCCCAAAGCGTGCCCATGGCTAAGACAAGGTTTGCATCAGTCACATCAGAGATCAGCTGAAAATGGCTGGGAGCACGTACCGAACGAGGTAATGGGCATCAAGAACGGGATTGAGACGGCGAAGTAGACCACCCAGCGGCCTTGCCATGGGGACTGCCAGATGACCCAGCACCTCCACAACTGCTGCTCGTCAGCCCTCCATTATACGCGAGGCACATATGATACTCACTACGAGAGCGTCACTCAAGAAAGTGATGACAAATAGTGTGGCCTAGTACATGAAATTCACGGCGATGCTTTGCGATGAAAGGAAGTTGCGGTTGTCAATATACACGAGCTGAATATCCCGCGCCTGCACCGCGACGAAGATGGTTTCCACAATGAGAACAACAGAGGTATAGGCGAGAAGGAAGAGTGAGTGTCGTTTCGTATGCCGCTGGGTCCATAGGTGGCGCGCGCATGCGCCATAGAGTACGAGCTGAACGCCGTAACCCAGACCTGTGAGAAGGTCGCTGGCCAGGAAGCCGCGTTCAAGGAAGATCGTCATGGCATCCTCATCGGGACCGTAGTGGGGAGTTGACGTGCTGCCATTCATGAGGTGGTCTTTGGAGTACTGGATCTGACGACACAGGGGCTTGAAGTAGGACGATGGCTCCGGCCGCGTGATTCCATCGTCAACCTCGGTATTGATGCCCAGTGAGAAGTCCGTCTAGCAGGATCCAGCGGAATCTAGCGAAATCTAAGCTATTTCTACGGTTCTCTAAGTGGTTAGAAATTTCCTAGAAAACGCTCCCGAGTAGATTTCCACTAGAATTGACATAGAGATGTCTAGGGTTTCTATCCGTCCCCTAGCCAGGCAAGATCTAGTGGTTTCTAGTCAGGTTCAATCGTGTCCAGTACGATTATAGGGCTCAATCTAGGCTCATTTCGAGGCTCATTTTCACGCTGTCTAGACGAATTCTAGCATTTGCACAGTTCACAACATTTAAATTCTTGGTATATTTCGAATCTCCACAAACTTTTCTACACCGTAGTCTACATCGCACCCGACAAATGAACCCGACCCGCATTGATACAATACACGGATTCGCGTGACTGGGTGCACCAGTGACCCTAGTTCTTCGCTTTGCGCTGTACGATTAATCAGTCACGATGCCAATGGCGAAGAGATAGCACTGCGAACACGTACCAGCGCGTTTTGTTGGTCGATCCAAGGCTATATGATGAACATGAGAATCCGCACTATCTGCTGTATCCCGGACGAGGCTCACCTGTTTTTCTTCCCGTGTCATCTTTGCCCAGTACTTATCGTATGCCTTCTTGCTGGCCATCGGATTCTTTTCCTTCCACACCCGACCGTGCAATGTCCTGATCGTGCAGTGAGCTTAAGATGGACCGGCGAAGTTAGAAACAAGCCTACTTCGCATGATTGACGTGTGGCCCCGTGAAAGGCGGGATGTATACGTCCGCATCCGGGAGTGGCTGTGCCTCGCGCACTGCATCATCGCCATTCGTTACCGCGGCAGGGTCCTGCCCTGGCGATGCCGCAGCTGGTGCAAGATCATGGCGAAGATCGGGGCGAACAGAATCGCTAGTTGAAGAGAGGATTAGTGTGTCGATGTAAATGATGTCAGGAAGTTGGTACGAACAGAAGGCTTGGTTCTTCCTCCTCGTCCTCATCCTCCCCATTGCGACGCAGATCCTGTGTCGGCTGAGTGGCCGTGCCAGGCTGCATGTTCGAATCCGCATCCGGAGCTAGTGAACCCGCCACACGGGCTGTCACCTCGCGGGCTGGCACATCCACATTCGTGGCATTGTCGTCGTGGATGGATGATGGGTGCGAATCGGGCGGTGTGTGCGAGCGCGGAGCTGATGATCCCGCCACGCGGGTTCTCGCCTCGCGGAGCGGCGCATCCACATCCATTGCATCATCGTCGCGACCAGAGGAAGTGTGCGAATTGGGTGGTGTGTGCGAGCGCGGAGGTACGTCGGTGGTATCGGTGGGAGACTGCGGGCGTGGCTGAGGGGTGGATGTATGCGAATTCGGCGGGGTCTGGGCAGTGTTCTGTTGTTATTGTCAGAGGATTTCCAGCTCGGGAAAGTAATGTCAAACACAGACCGAGGCTGCTGTATCATCATTCCCTTCATCGTCATCTATTACTGAGAGTCAACTTGGTGATCCGATAATTGAGTAGCAAAGCTTACCGGCATCAGAGTCATGAGCGACCTTGCGCTTCTTACTGGATCGATCTTCGGGTTTCTTCCATGTCGGGAAGTATGTCGTGCAAACCTTCCGCGCCTTCCAATGGTCGGCGCATAGACGCAAATCAAAGAAGGCCTTCTCGAGCTCGTAGTATACAAACTCGGCAGCAGCCGGATCAATATCCCGAGCCCATGTCTTCGGTGCAAGACCGCGTGCATGAAGCTTAGTACAAGCTTGTTTGAACACTCGGATGATGCGGTTTTTCGTGCCTGCATCAGTGTTGTTCCACCAGCAGGAGTCCATCCTTTTTTAACAGGTCAGCCCGAGTGCCCAGACGGTTTTTAAACCATATTCTGTTTTCAAACAGGACTGACCTGGTGCACGGGCATAATGCGCGCAGAAGTGCAAAATGCTCCGCGGGATTCGAACCCGCGACCTCGTGCAAAGGATTTCTTTTAGCCGATGCAGCCACTACGCCACACCACCGTTGAAATAAGTAGTTGTGCACGCTACACATAGCACTGCTCGCGCCCACTTAGACAAAAAAAAGAAAATGCAGCGCGTGCCGCGCGTTTGAAAACCGCGCCGCGCCCGATTAGAAAACCGCGCCGCGCCCGATTAGAAAACCGCGCCTCGCACGATTAGAAAACCGCGCCTCGCACGATTAGAAAACCGCGCCTGAGCGGGTTAGAAAACAGCGTCTGAGCGGATTAGAAAACAGTCTTCTCATGCGGGGTTAGAAAATGGCGCTTCGACTGAGTGCATAACGAGCACCGAGGCGTCCGCTCTCGTGGCGTCTCTGAGCCTGTGACGGGTATAATGCGCAAACTAAAATTCAGTGCTGACCGCACGGTCGGCTTTAGCCTCTCTAGAGAGATACGCTAGGCAGTACTGTTCAATCCAGAAGCGCGTGCGCTCGGCCGCTAATGCCTGCGCACGCTCAGCCTCCTGTGCCCGATATGCCGCATACCTGCACCTGTCGATTGCAGAGTGCCATTCGGACTCCTGTAAGAAGAAACAGAGTCACGAACGGAAACATGGACAGTCGCTAACTCAGATACACGCACCTCCTCCTCCGAGGCGAACACGAGCGAGGGGACCTCCCAGTCGGCCTCCCCTTCCGGGTGTGGCACCTGTGTGCAAGTCAGTCGCCTTTCCAGACTGCATATTGTCGCCTTACGCACCCATATGCCACACTCCTCGGCCGGACGATAGCGCCTCGCCGACGCCACCTGCTGCCCGCTACCGCTCGGCTCCATCACGTTGCTAGACATGTTCGTGGACGTCGAAAGAGAAGACCGACAAGTAGACAGGGGGAGTACGGGCGGGGGGAGTACAGGCGTAGACGGATGGAGGATGGCTGTCGTCTGTGAGTCATTTTCGCTGGCAATCAACCGGCCTTCGCCGGAGCGTCTTCCCGCGCTCTCTGATGACATCATTCGGCCCGATCACGCCATCTGCGCGCTCAGTGTTCAACAACGTTCAACTCGCTACCCCTTTCAAGCGTTAACGCTACCTACCCAACCTATGTATACCTCGACTCTCTAATACTATCTACCCTTCTTCACTGGCACCAGCGAGCGTCTTTTCCGTCTTTTTTCTACAAAGGGGAATCAGCAATCAGGTAATCTCTCAAACGGGCGCGTCTTACATCTTCCGCTTCTCCTCCGCGTGCCCCTCCGTTACGCTGTCTGGAATGAAGTCGCCCGCCTGCTCCCGCAGTATATCCAGCACGTCTATCATGTCCACCGCCAGCCTCTCCCACTCGCTGCTCTCCGCCTGCGTCGTTATGTTGTATCCCCAGCACAGCAAAGTCACCACGAGCAATCGCACGCCTACCAGGCCACCATACAGACAGCCCTCCCAGCCCATCGACTGGTCCGCAGAGCAAGTCAACCGTCCCTCGCCGTCCCGCCGTGCGTCAGGTTGTAATAACGCCCACTGCTGCGCCAGCAGAATGCCAACATCGTGATCAAGCTGCGCGGGTGTGCGCGTCTTGTCCTTGGTCGCCCTCGCCGCCCACATAACCTTAGTCAAGCTTCCTCCCGCCAACTTGCGTTGTAGGTCCGCCGTGTAGCCCAGAAGCGGTCTACCGTCCGGCAATCTCGCGAGCGGCAGCTTCATTTCCTTCTGAATAGGGGTTAGTGTTGCCGCGCATCTGAATACGTGCCGTAACTGACGATGTTGCTCATCTCGAAGCGCCAGTAGCTTCGTCCAACCTCGCACCCCAGCGCTTTGATCGTTACCGGCAGCTTGCTCGGAATGACCTCAAGAAACGCGCCCATTTTGACGGCTACGAACCACTTCTTCCTGACATCCAGGGATTTGGCCGCCTCGCGACAATCCGAGATGTATGCCTGAGGTGCGTCAGTACGCGCTCACACCCGAATCAGTGATCACTGACCTTAGTATCGACGCTAGTGACGATATCTCTCTCTACGCTGAACGCCAATACGTCCCCCATGGCAAACTCCCCTCCGCCCGATGCGCCGACCTCTCCCCTATTTGTCTCACCGCTCTCCGTGCTCTCTTTACCCTCCACGGTCCCACCTACGCCCGGCGCTTTTCCAGATTTCTCCAACTCTCCACCCGCCGCGTCTGACAACTCTTGTACCGTGCCGTCATTAATTCCACTCCGCTCGCATTCAATCGACGTCTTCGTCGACAGAGCATCACCCGCCCTGGACCTGCTGACGCCTTGTCCCGTACCTCCCGTACCATCCTCACCTCCGCCTTTCCCAGCGTCCTCGCCACCCGCGCGCTGCCTTGGCGGTATATTCTGCGCATCCGCCGTCTTCTTCCTCGGCTTCGGGTCTGCCGTGGGCCGCGCTTCCTCGACGCCCGAAGGCTGTTCGCCTTCGCCCTCGCCGCCCGCCTGCTGCCTTGGCGGTATATTCTGCGCATCCGCCGTCTTCTTCCTCGGCTTCGGGTCTGCCGTGGGCCGGGCTTCCTCGACGCCCGAAGGCTGCTCGCCTTCGCCCTCGCCACCCGCCTGCTGCCTCGGACGTACATTCTGCGCATCCGCCGTCTTCTTCCTCGGCTTCGGGTCTGCCGTGGGCCGGGCTTCCTCAACGCCCGAAGGCCGTTCGCCCTCGCCCTCGCCATCCGCCTGCTGCCTCGGAGGTACATCCTGCGCCTCTGCGGCCTTCTTCCTCGGCTTCGGCTTTGGCTTCGGCTTCGCCGTGGACCCGGAATCTTCGACGCGCGAAGGCTGCTCGTCCTCGCCATCCGTCTGCAGCCTCGGAGGTACATCCTGCGCCTCTGCGGTCTTCTTCCTCGGCTTCGGCTTCGGCTTCGGCTTCGGCTTCGGCTTCGCCGTAGGCCCGGCGTCTTCGGCGCGCGAAGGCTTCTCGCCCGACACCGGCGAGGCCGCCCTTCCGGTGCGCTTTACCGACGAATCATCCGTCGACGCGGCGGGTGGCAGATCCTCTTCGCCTCGTGTCGAGCGCGCCGTCGAAGCGTGTCGCTGGCGCTTGTCCGCGGGAGCTCGATCATTCCCCCGCGCCCTTGCGATCTCCTGTGCGCGTCTTCCACCAGCATCAACGGGCTTTTCCGCTGCATCAACATCTCCCCCAGACGCTGGTGCCGACTTCTCACGGCCAGCGAGTTCGTGCGCGACGTCCAGGCTCACTTCGTTCGGCCATCGTTCGTTGCGCGGCACCTCCGTATCCGACTCCTCTGACTCCTCATCCACTTCTTCTCCGTCTTTCCGAGGGTCCTTGAACCCAGGCCATCTCAACTCTGCGCCGCAAGTAAGCAAAGATGATGTTCTGATGTTATCGCACAACTCACCGTTCAACGTGTTAGTTTGATTCACGAGTTGGCCGGCAAGAGCGTGCACAAGCGTGGGGTCGATGCTGCTCATGTTCAACGTGACGCGGTTCTCAAGGTTGAATGTGGCCTCCGCCCTGTACGTTCATCAGCTCGGACAGCATTGGATCACGATGTTACGCCAACTCACACATCGACGTCCGCAGGCGCTGTGGTGATCCACACGCACATGCCAGACACAAGATCGGCGACACACTTGGCCAACGGTTTCAAGATTTCGTTGATCTTCTTGAGGAATCTGCCGCCGATGTCAGCCCTGCACGCGCTTGCCCCAAAGCTCGACACTCACGCTCGCGCCTCCTCCGGGTCCTCCGGTTTCAACTCGACGAACCTGAACCACTTGTCTAACGCCGCCTTGTGATAATCCTCGCGGTCCTTCAACACCTCCGCCTTCACCTCCTCAGACGCCTGCTTCAGGTATTTCGCGGCAACCTGGTTCTGGAACGAGCCGACCGGTTTCGGGGTACCTTCCGTCTCCTCCGCGCCCTCCTCATCCTCGTCCGCGTCCTCTGATTCCTGCTTCAAGCGCTCAACCTCCTCTTGCATCTCTCGCGTCATGTGCTTGTAGAAGAACATGTATTGTGGGAGACGTTTCGGAGGATCAAAGACCTTCATCATCCACGCCTTAGGATCAAAACCCGATGCCGGCGCCAGATCTTCCGCCTTCGCCTTCCTGTATTCCTCGAACATCAAACTCTTCACTCTCTACGCGCAAGGCCGTCAGTCCATGCTCCATATCGGCAAGAGAATAGGAGTACCCTGTACACAAGGGCGAGCGCGGCGTCGTTGCTGGAAGCTTCCCCGCCGTCGCCCTTCTTCTTCTTCATCGCCCGCGTGATGTCGCTCTCCTTGATATGTTCCGCGTCCACGTCGCTATCCAGCTCCTCGTCGCTCCCAATAACGCGCAGTGGGTCTACCCATCCGTACTTGGCCATGATGAAGCCCACCGCGTTTCTGAACACGCGCTGCTTTCCCTTGTGATCGTTCGCGTCGCGCATCTCGATATACTCCGGCACGAATGTTCGCATATCCGCCAATTGCTGCTCGGGAACCTCGCGCGGCCGTCCACGGTTATCCACCTTCTCGTCGTCCTCCAACGCCTTCTTCCCTTTTCTCGCGCCCTTCTTCCCACCGACACCGCCGCCGCGCTTGCTTTGCTTCACAGGTGCCTTGGCCTTTGCACCACCGACTTTCGCCGTGCGCGGCTTCGTCGAGGTGGAGCGCGGTTTTGCAGAAGAAGAGGCAGAAGAAGATGCCGAGGATGCGGCGCTCGTCGGTTTGATCGTCGAGCTGCCCGCTTTCCCCATACGCGGTTTCGAGGTGGAGCGTGGTTTCGAGGTAGAGGAATTTGAAGAAGCGCTACTCATAGTCGGCCAGTCAGAGAATGAAGTATGGCGCGATGGGCGGAAAACGAGTGGGCAGGCGCAAGAGGCCCCGACAACCCGCGCCAATGAATATCTTTATCGGACGGCTCAGGCGCACCCGAGCGATGGCCAGTGACAGCATCCAGACCACCGGCTCCATCAGGCCCCTGTATGCTCACGGTGCCGTCATACGCCGCCGCGCCTGTCCCTCCACGCCGCCGCGCCCTCTCCCTGGTTCGCCCTCTCTTACCGAGCTTTTGTAAAGACAAGCACTGAGTACTGTGCATTTACACCAGCTCGGGAATACAACGTACTCCAAGTACTCCTTCGGCTCTTTCGGCGCACCTCCGCTCTTTCGGCATTCGTCCAGTTCACCCCTCGACGGAAGCAAAGATGCGCCCCTGTTCACCGCGCGCATCGATTGTAACCCTGTCCCAGAGCTCCCTATACACCTTTCCTATTGTAACAGTGCCTACGCTGACCCTGCTTCTTGTATTTCTGGGCCCACCACCAGACAGCAGATAACTACCAGACAGCAGATAACTACCAGACAGCAGATAACTCTCTACAAGTCGGACGGCGTCGGGTAAGTACGCGCATCCGACCATCCTGTCACCCTTAATCGTCTGGAATCTTCCTCGGTCGGACGCGGCACGGCATTCCGCTTGCTGCGGTTCAAAAGGTGCGCGCCTGCGTCGGCCTATCCTTCGACTCAACCTTCAACGTCTCCTTCGACTCAACCTTCAACGTCCCCCCACTCGACCTCCATAATGCGCTCTAGCAAACGTTCTGTGACGGATCGTCCGCGCTGGAAGCTGAGTGCACGCGCACGCCGTGAACTCGAGGTTCAAGCTAACGTACAATTTCGCAGCATCGTTCGCCGAGCCGCACATCGCATGGATGTCGCGCTCGTAGATCAGCTTCGTCTAGAGTGCGAGCTTCACGGTGTCCAACTCATAGGCCCACGCCTCCAATATCGTGCCCATGATCCCAACCGCGGCCGGTACTATGTCGTCGTAAGTTCACTCTTACTTTCGGCCTCATCCGCCCGCTAAGTCAGTCTGCAGTCCTCGGCACCGTATCCTGGCCGTAAACGCAAGATGTTTCGTTACGTGTCTGGCCCGCTCCCGGCTCTCAAGATTCAAGAACTAGAAGACGCTCGCATCGCGCGAGAATTGCAAGACGAAGGATTGCGGCCTGTTCACCTTGGCATGGCTGTACGAACTTGTTCATCCTCATTGTTGACGTCGCTCATGTTTATCGTCGCACAGCACATGCCCCTCGGACACAATGCATTCATGCGCGCACTTGGCTTAGACGTGAGTGCGCGAACCCGCGGCGCCAGCCGCGTCACGACCGCGCCTCGTCCCCTTCGCCGCCTGAACCCCGTCGGCGGCCAACACATCCGCGTGCGAGTTCAATCTCCGCCTCGTACCCGCAGCGCCAGCATTGAGATCGTGGGCCAGCGTCGTGCACGCAGCCCGAGCATTGAGATCGTGGACGCACCGCCAGTTGTGGTAGTGGACCTCACACAAGAGCCTCTATTCCTTCGAGTCAAGTTCTACGACACCGTCAGTTCATCGTTCGCTCTGTACATATGACCCGCTAAGTTCCAGCAGGACGGCGCCGCGCCTAAAGAGCTCTTGCTAGAGCAGTCCTTTCCGGGCGCGCCTTATAGACTTTCGGAGTACGCGCCCCAGTTCAACTCCATCGATGTCAAGCTTTCCGACTCCGCGATGCTACTAATGGGCTCACAATTCGGTCCATCCTGGCGCGGCGCTACGATAGGCGACCTTGGCTTTCCTCCGACGGCTCGACGTGTTGTCATTGCCCGCCGCCTATTGCATTCCTCTCTGGGCGATAACGTTGCCCGCCTCCACGACTCTGTGCACCACGCCGAGGGTTGGGGCTACAAAGGACTCGGTACGTACAGCCGCTCGGCTCTACAGACTGCGCATTAACCAATGTATCGCAGTTCTTACGGCCCCTATAGAGATTGACTAGATTAGCTTATGCCTTGCCTGTATGCCCTATGCCAGCCTCCAATATGCATCAACCCGATCTTCCCCGATTTTCCCTTTGATATTCTCGCGCGATTCAGGAAATTCAAAATCATGTGATCGCGTTCAGGGCGCCGCAGCGCGTGAATGGAAAATATATGCGTATGGGGAAGATACAAAGCGTGTTCGCCTCTCACTCGCTGCACATCGGCGCAGCCTATCGAAGCACATGTACACAACCCGGTCTATTCAGAACGTAGTACCACTACAGTGCGCTAGACGTTGGCTGAGTGCTACCAAACCCGCATCTTCTGTGTCCGCAATCGCCTCTAGTATGCGGTCTACCGACCGCACTGTACGTACTCCCGGAAGACACCCAAACAGCTGCGCCCAGTCCTCATCGTCCGTGTAGCACCAATCCGGAAAGTCAAACGCGACGCCCTCGACGATGACACCCGCAGCCAGCTTACGCAGAATGGGCGCAATCTCGTCCACCCACTCCACTGCGTCCGAGTCCAACCCCAGTAAACCCAGGCACACCGCAGGCTCATCAACCTTTGGGCGATACCAACGCCCTAGACGAACCTCGTCGAGTGGTAACACGTAGCCAGAAACAAGGATGTCTAGTAGCCCGTCCTCGGTCTGGACCATGACAACCTTAACTGCGCTGATAGCGCTCGTCGGGACCGCTGCATGAGGGGCTCAGTTCTTGTAGCAACTGTGAGAAAGGAATAGAACTGACGCAGACGAGCAAGCAGCGTCATCACCGCCAGAGGAAGTGACGAAGCCAGGTCTGGCAGCAGTTCGCAGTCCAAAAATAACTGTACTGTTGTCGTCGGGGGCACCACAAGAGCGCCCAAGAGGCGCATGTAAGAGAGCGCGCAGCCAGACAACACCAAGCGGCGAAGATTAGGAAGCCGTACTTCGTCGAAGCTCGGTTTGGCTATGAAGCTCGCTACGTCATTTGGTGCCGGAGGCGAGTCAAGGGCATCGCTGAGAGTTAGATCTTCAAGCGTGTCCTTGTGGCGCATAAGAAGGCCGTAATATATGGCCAAAGCATGCGGGCGGGGCGTATTGGCTTCGTCGTCCCAGGTTATGGACAGGACGCGCAGGCCGAACGCCACGATGGGCAACCAGCAGGAGTCGAAATATGCGCGCAGAAGCTTAGGGGCCCACAGGCGACCATCGAACGACGGGTGGTTGACCTCCCTGATCAATCGATTTCAGTACGTGCGATCCCGACTACGCGCAACGCGGACGGTTACCTGATGAAGCTATATGCGTTGTGCTGTTCGTACTCTACGGACGCGCGTATTTCTTCTAGCGCTGTCAGAGAGGTGTACAACACCAGGCGCTTCAGATGTTCCGTCACGTCTCCGCGCCTGAGTATCCAGATCTGCGAACAAGAGGCGAAATCGGCGGACTGGCGAATGAGGGTCATGCGGCGGATCTCCTTGTCATCACGCAGAGGTGGATTGGAGCGCATCCGAGGCATCAACGGTGTTAAGTGGTACCACAGAGGTACATCCCCGGAGCGGGTCTAGCAGCGGATATGAGCAATAAGAACTGTGCGCGCGGGCAGGACATACTCGAAAGACTTCCTGCGCCCCGGGATACTCTGTATAGTGCTCTGCAAAGAGCCGGGGCATGCCGCAGACGACATACCGCAGTCGCCGGCAGATCCAGGTCAAAGTCAGCCAGCCCGCACGCCGCCCTATTGTCGGAGGCGCGAGCTTGACGTAAACTTCCACAATGACCTTGAGCAGATCGTCTGGCAGGTCAAGGAGTCCGGCACTACTATCCATGTTGAGCCCAAGAGTATAGAGAAGTCAGCGAGTCAGCGAACATACCATCCAGCCTCCCGGCGGCGCACGTCTAGCGCGGACAAAGACTCAATAAGTGTCGCTTCTCCTTGCGGCATGGTTGATCGTTCCCCTCGGACGACATCGCCATTGCTTAAATGGACTTAGCAACGTGCCATGTCAGGTCCGCCCGACGTTGGCAAATTTGTGCATGACGGGGCGAGCGATGCGATGGGCACTGATAAAGCGCGCGGAACAGACGCATCGCGCTTCGACCCTAGAAAGCTAAATCCTGCAGCGCTGCGCAAACCTCACAAGGGTCCCTGTATATGCGCTCTATCGTATGGCGAGTATGGATAGCAGTACAGAAAGGCATAGTGCGTCTAGATCCATGGATCTAGCTAATCGCGCCCGATGGTGGACTTGGGCAAGACGCATCACCGCGGATAGAAGCTGGTTACCCCGGCCCGCGCAGACCGTGCGGGGAGATGTATGCGTTACTTTAAGGAGTTCCAGGACGTGGTATCGTACCAGAACTTGTATACAGCTTCTCGCGTTGTCCCCGCGTACGCAGGGTTTGCCAGAATCATATCCGCCAATGTGGTGAGGAGGTACATGGAGTAGCAAGGTGCGGCGAGCGCTGCGCGTGGACTCTAGACGCGAATCTCTGAGTTCCAACCGTTAGCGCTCCGGCATGTACTCCATCTTCAGGATCCTACCGCTAATCTTCCCCAACCCCTTTACGTTGAGGATAGGAAGAACTCTGTATGATGTCACCGAACACAGTGTCGTACAGTGCTGCCTATCTCATTTCGGACAGCAGTATAAATGGGCATGTACAATTGTTGCAGTGATGTCATTGTACATGCGCACGCACATCGCAAGCCCGGTATAAGATTCGCGTTGAGATGCTTGAATGTGCTACGCTTTACCAACGCTACGCATGACAGCGCTATTCACAGCGATAGCGCCCGCCGCACTGAGCGCTACACCGTACAGCCTCCTATCTACTCGGAGATGAGTGTGGCCCCGCGGATCACAACACATGCTCACAGGTCGCGTCATCCGCCATGATCTTGACAAGAGCCACCACCATGTCATACGCGGAATGCTTCTCAACGAAGGCCTAACACCCAGCACGGTCTCCCGCATTCGAAGACGCCCCTCGGCTACGTTGTGCGCCAATGGGCGCGATATGCGTAGATGGCGCGCAGTGAGCGCCGGGCTTCGTTAACAAGCAGCCCGGCGCTCCGACGCACCGTTCCACCGCGGAAGAGAGACTCTAAAGGCTAATTGGCATGACAGCGCAGCGTCGGCCTATGTAAATCGTCCTACCGTCAACGACTTCAAGTCGCCTTCCCGCCACTCCCCCGCCCACTTTCCAATGTCTGCTACTCCATCTGAAGACCCGTCCCCTCCCGCACAGTGTACTTGCGGGCATGAGTTGGGCGATGGCTCCGATATATCCGATATCCCAAGCCTCGAAACTTGCTCTGTTTCGGACGATGAGAGTGTGTTACAATCCTCGACTCTCTGCGTCCGACACTGAGCGGTCTTCTTCCAGATGTGTTGTGTGCTGGCCAGGATCCGCCCGAACAGGCGCTCTCTCATGCCGCTCCTTCGGCTCACCACGTCGGAACAGCCCCAAGCCCGCAAAATGAAGAGGTCGCGCCCGCCGTACAAGGTTAGCATTTCCATCCCTTAAACAAACGGAGCACTCTGCCTGACGTGCGTATAGGTGATCGGCATGCGTTTCCGGTATTTGGACCACCTCTAACCGGGGAGGAAAAATATAGTGTCGTGGACCGTCTTATTCTGGACACGTACGCATGTTCTTTCACCTGCGCTTTCTATCCCAGCTAACGGTGCGCGCTATATCTAATAGGGCGGTGGTTGGTCCGGCTTTGTGTGAGGCGTGCGCGCGCTCGCAGCGCGGCTTTACGTACGATGTGGCCTGCCGCTGGTCCCTTACACTACGCGACGCAGGTGTTCAAGACGGTGTTCCGACTGGCTGGGCGTCTGACGTCGAGGATAGTAATGCAGTGTAGTACGGTACCAATATGCGCACGATGGTCCTTGGCGCGTTCTTTCGCTTTCTTCTTTTCTCGTAAGGCCTAGGCCGCGCCCGTGTTCTTTCCCGGGTTCCTGATGGCTGCCGCGTATGGATGACTGCGTGATACCTTCTCCTACTACCACCACCACCACATCACCATCACCACCTCTTCCAGCTCCTCTTCATAGCGAGAATGTCGCTTTCAGCGCGTGTGCATGCCATATGCGACAGTGAGTACGATCGCTCGCGCTTGCGTACGATCATAACGTTAATGTTTCCGCGCCTCTCCAGAGCTTCAGGCACTAGACGATGGTCCGTCATCAACGGGTGCAATGCTACCCTATCCAGCTTCTAACGAGCACACAGAGGCCATGCAAAAAGTGGATCAGCTTTGGGTGCAGATGCCGCTCGATGCAGCTCTTGCTGCCACTGAAGATGTCCGGCTTCGTCTACGCAAAGAGCGTGAGACGCTGTTGAACTCGTTGTGCGAGTTAGCCCGGGAGAACTGTGATACAGCGGTTTCCAGTTGGAAAGACTATCGGCTTGTCGGGACGTTGCGCGTGTAGCTTATTTGACTGGGTTTGATGTTTGGCGTTTCGGATTTGTGATGTTTGTTCTCGCTTTCGGCCGTTGCGGCCTGTGCCTATCTATTCCCCTCCCCTGTAACGTCACGTCCGCCCTACTTACAGAACGCTGAGCATTCGATGGTTTGCCTGCACCCTGCACCACCTCCAGTCACCAAGATGCCTCCTCGAGGACAGCCCACAACAGTCAGAAACCCCCAGCGGTGTGCCGTGCTGCAGTATGCGCAAGTCTACATGGTTGCCAGGGACGTCCGAGACCGACACTCTGTGAAAGATGTCTTCCGGCGCACCAGCGAGCTAGTTGTGGCCAAGTACGGCGACACTGATCCCGGGCGCGATGTCACCGATCAGGATGCGCTTGAGCTGTCAATCGCTATGGCTGCAGGGTACCCGCCGCACTAGCTGCCGGCCGGCGGACCGCCCGCCAACGTTGTCCAGGTACAGCTCACCGTTGTATACATATCGGTGTTCTCGTACTCACTATCTATACTAGTCCGGTACAACAGCAAGCGCGTACTATCCGTACTGTTTCAACTCGTCTTGCAGGACATCGCCGGGGGGTAGACATTTACGCCGTTTCTATATCAGGAGAGGATGTTCTCGTCCGTGTATGTGTTCGCGGCGTAGCGAGGCTTACAGAATACATCAATATACATGCTCTGTTTTGTTTTCCGAATGTCATTCACACCGCTTCAACCCGTCTTCGAGTTTGAGAGAGAGCTGATCGCGAAAGACAGCACGTCCTTGCGGGAACACGCACTGTCCTCGTGCGGGCGAGGTATTGATGGGGAAATGTTGAACCATTTACCAGCTACGCGTTGACCACACTCTGCTACCTAAATTGCACTCGAGTAAGCAGAACACATACCCGCTTACGTCTCACAAAGAAGCGCGGTGGTAACTGCAAGAGAGAGGTCCGTACGCGTAGTGTATGCAGCAGCGCGACCGCATTCCAGTTGTGGCGCGACGCGGCGTCTGCACGTCAGTTGGTTCGAACCGAGACTGTCCTCCTCTGTAGACACCTCGCCACAGATCTGCTCTCACCATGCGAGATACAGCACTCTCCTCATGGTGCGCTGCGTCGCGCGAACGAATACTTCCACAACCGTATGTATCCGTCGCCTGGCGAGCTTACAATGCATGTGCGCAGGCAAAGTTCTAACTCCCGATGTAGACCTCAACTGGCGCATTCGTATCTGCTCTCTGTCATCCGGGAGCGGGATTCATCCCGGAAGAACAGTAAGGTCTCAAAGAGGGTCTCCAAGGGCCGCGGTGGCCGAAACCGCGGGCGTATGGAGGATGAAGCACGCAGGGAGCGTGAAAGATTACTTCGGCGCGGGTTAATCAGGCATGTACACGCCTGTACACGCGTTTCAGAGCGCGAGCGACCAACTGAGACGAGACACATAGATCGTACGAGCTCACGTTGGCTAGCAAAGAGCCGCATACAGATACTCTTGTGACGTCCACCCGCTCTCGCGATGAACATCAGCTGTGGGACGGACTCCGCGCAGCTCATCACCAATACAGTTCGAATGCCCAGCTCTTCGCAGTTGGCAATGTTGCCTACTTTGACTACTTGGAAAAGAGGCTTCAGACAGAGGAACAAGATCTCATCCACCTGGTACTGGATACTCAGAAACGGCCGCGCAAGCAGGAGTGCCTATTGCACGCGGGCCGCCGCGCGATCGGTATCATCCATCAGGAGATGGAGCTCCTGACTTTCAGCGAGGCACAGTTACGCGCTGTGGCCGTTGACAACGCCTTCATTGCACAGGGTCGGAGGTGGGCGCTATGTAAATACCTCGTTGAATACAGCGGACTGCTGATGCTATGGGGACCCCAGGTTGAAACAGAGGTCATTCCGGGCAACTTTCGGATGGTGGTCCGCTACCGAGCTTCTTGCAAAGCACGACGTTCTCCAAGCGCCTACCGCGGTCCCCGAGTGCGATGGAGAGTACTGCAGTACGGCAGGCCGTTACGTGCCTGGTGGAGATGTTAGCGGGGACTGCGCAGACGCGGATACGGGTATCCCGTCGCAAACATCCGATTCGGACTTCGACCTCTTTGCGTCGGGTGTAGAGGACGATTGGGACGCAGATGAACTGCTGGGGGTTGAGTAGCTCATACTCTGCCAGCCGTTCGGTCAGCTAAACCATACGATGTGCTCAATGCTTGTACATATGCAATGTTGTACGCGCGCATGTACAGTTCTCGCCGTCGGTGCCGGCACATGTAGACATCTGATGGAACATTTCGCTGTCCGTTAAGCTTTGCGCGAATTGAACCGATGTACGACGTACAAGTATCGGCGTATGGTCCCCAGGTGTTGCGCGTATGGATCACATTACCCCCTTCCGCGGCGACGATGCCGCGTCTGACATGCCCGAGCTCGAGTCTGTCAGCGACTCCGGTGAGTAATACAATCACAACTCTTGATGCGCTAATGGTTAACGACCGTCAACAGAGAGTGAATGGTCATACCAAGACTGCGATTGTGAATGCCCGTCCAAAGGCTCTACGCGCGGCGCTGAAGATGGTACGTGGCCCATGGCATCTCATTTCTGCGCGCCATCGTTGACGCGGCCGTGTGTATAGTAAGCGTACTGGGCTGCGAGGCAAGCTGGCCTCAACACTCGCGTGAAACGGCTACCGCTCTGTCGTCAGACGTCGCGAATGCGCAGCCGGAGTACGTCTGGTCTGCTCGCAATCCAACTCCGGCCCTGCGCGAGATGGGCCACCCGGACACCCTAGGACCTTCGCCTCAAGCTCTCGAAGAGTGGCGCCTCTCCGTCAACCTTGCGCGCATGCCGGAAGACGCTCAAGCTCAGGACTGTTCAGTCTCAAGCAATCCGTTCTCGCTCTTTACGACACCCCTCTCGGCGGACCCAGAACCAGGCGTCGTACGAAAGTGGTATAGGGAATTGCGCGCGTGGGAGGAACAGCTTGAGAGAGATACCGACATCCGACGAGCCCGGCTATGCGCCCGCGCATACGCCGGCATGCACGAGCGTATGTTGCGCGAAATCAACCTTGACATCGACCGAAACTTCCGTCTGCACAATAAGGACAAGTACAGATCTAGCGCGGTGCACCGGACGTGCAGTGGCTGTCCCGCGCCGTGCCACGGCGGTGAAAGAGAGAAGGGGATCGGCGCCGCCAAGGCAAAGTTGTAGTCGAGTAGTTACAGCACAAAGATTCCTATAAATGAGTGTTGTGGCGACGAGCAAGAAGTGACGCGCGATACGCGTCACATAGGGTCGGGCATACGGTCCGTGGAGACCGGTACACAGCCGCGCGTCTGGCACCTTCTCATCCTCGACAGCGACGAGCGCCGCGCCTAGCCCGTTGCCTCCCTCCCTCCTGCGCTATTCTCAAAGCCCATACTCACTGCTGCCTACTCCTCAGCACCATGTTATATCGATGTTGCATGCATAGTCTATATCCCGGGTTCGCATGACCGGCGGCAAAGGCAAACTATTCGCAGTGCCAGCGTCAGCCGGATGTCCACGAGGCGCCTCATGGCGCACAAGCAAGCCGGTACTTTCAGATGAGGCGTCTTGGCCCTACATGCCTTCAAGCGAGGCAGATGGCGGGCGATCTTGTCTGCCCACAATGAGCGACCTACCGTGTTGGGTTGGGGTGTATGCCACGCCCGCCCGACTTCCCGCCTCGCGTCTGCCATCTTCAAGTTCAAGGTGTGTCTACACGTACATACCTAAGCGTATGGCGTGCTCACTCTTCTACTCTGACCCTGTGCTCGCCCTCCAGGCAAAACTTTTGCAGGCGAAGTTGTCCCCACCCGAGTCAAAGGGCAACCTTGCAGGCGTGGGTACGCACGCGTCGAGCTTGACAAGCAATTGGCCTCGGCCGCGGCTCGAGGCGACAATGATACGGCGCTCGGTCTCCGCGTGGGCCTTGCCGAGGTCAAAATGGCTGCCAGGCGCACTCAACCGGCCAGTGCTGTACCCGACGCTGGTGGGGCGACAGCGCACGCCGTCGCCCAGGTGGGCGGTGAAGTGCCGCCCTCCTTCACTGGCGCTTATAATTTAGTACGTGGCGGACCGCCGCCTGCGGTGTAGGAGGTCGCCTATGTTTGTGCACGTATGTAGCCCGCATTAACTTTAGCTCTACCGTTATTCACGCATCAAATAGCCACGACCGCCGAGCCTGAAGCCGCTGACGACTGGCATCATAGATGAGCCGTTTGTCATGCGCGACTCGGGCGCAGGACTTGCAGGGCGCGGTTAATGTGCGGAAGAATGAGCCGTGGTGAGTACATACCTTCGTCCTCTATACTGGTTCAATCTAATAGCTGCAACAGGTAGGCGACATGCGCGGTTCTTCCCGATCGTCGCATCCCGGCGGAAGACGACGGCGAGACGGTCGAGGGCACTGATGGCTGTATTGGGACCCTCGGCACCAGCCGCCCAGCTGCGCCACTTTGCTTTAGAGACGACCTCGGATGAGAACGAGTCCCAGGAAGCGCGCGATAAGGAGATATGGCGCCATGACCACGCGCGTTGGTAAAACTTCTGAAACCTGGAACAGGAGCGGGAACTCTGTATATAGAAGGAAGCTGAGAAAGGTTTGAGTTATCCTTCAGTAGTAACGGTGTGTTTGCGTACTACTGCTCGGTGCTGTGTATAAGCTCCGATTGACGCTGTCGATCGTCTGTGTTGCCCGCGCGGTGAATGATGACACGAGATCTTGAAGTCACCTGATCGCGTTTTTCTTTTTTAGACTCAACACGGCGCGGTATCTTCCGAGCTCGTCCAAGTTGTGCGTTCGCTTTCTCCCTCTCGCTTGCCCGGAAAGCGACGGTGCACGATGGCTTGGAATATACGCGACCTTCGCCCAGATGAGCTCCTGACCCGCATCAGGATGCATTATGGCCCACAGTGGTTCCCGGACGACCAGGAGATTCGCCATGAGTTCGACGAGAACCCCGAGGGATACGACCGTACGTGCAACTTCCTTGGTGCTCGGCTCACGTCTAACATGCGTCTTTTAGTACTCCCTGCGGGGGGTATCTTTGAAACCGTACGACCGGGCGACCAGTAAGTGCAACTTACTATGTAGCAATCGCGCCGTATTCTCATCGCCCCAATAGCGTCTGGTATGCGGGTACGATAGGCCCGTTGCAACATCACGCGCCGCACCAGCATCGCCAGTTTGAATATACCCCGACTGACGCTGGCAGCGACGGACCCGAGGCTCCGGACGGAGAAGGCGGCGAAGCCGAACCGCCCGCGGGGACAGACGAGCACCGCCCCGACGACCCTAACGCGCTTCTGCCTCGCATGAACCAACAGGTTTGGCTGGGCGAAATCCGCGGCATCATCAGTGTCCCGATCCACGGCGGTTTGCGCCGGTCGTACGTCTGGATGCGCGGATACGGTACGGGTCTTTACCTACGTAGTGCCTTGCCGACGCGCTGGGACGCGATCGCTGAGTAAGTCCTCCTCTCTCAGCCACGCAATATCCCTCGTTGACGCTTCCCCGACAGCTTGATCAACAACATGCATGGCCGCGAGCACGTTAAACTTGATACATGGGAGTTTTGTCGGGTTCACGACATCGTCGCCATCGCCGAGCCCGTGCGTCTGGATGATGGGACGAAAGAGCTCCCTCCTCCGCTCGAGACGACGACGGCAGCGCGCGCGTTTATATCAAGCGGTGTTGTCCATTTCGTGGACAAAATACGCAACGCCACGGCGCATCGCCCTCTGGAGTACAGGCTCCCGCCTGGCCACACTCCGATTGCCTGCGAGCACGAGTCTTGCTCAGACCGGGCGTACAACCGCGCCAATCACGAGATGGCGCAATGTGTTGTGTGTCGGAGCTGGTTTCATATCGACTGCTTACAGCTTGCCGATGCTGCGGTTGACTGGGAGCGGGCGCGCTTTGGTTGGGACGGCGGGCAAGCACAGGGCCCTCCGATCAGGCGCGAGCCTAACTTAGATGCGGCCGAGTTTCTACCGGCGGCGCGCGGGGTCTGGATCCGCGCGGACGTACCGACGAAGACATGGGGTAGGGCTACTGTTGCCGTGGAGAGGGCGAAGAGGGAGGTGCTTAACGCGGACGGTGGTGTTGGCGGGGATACGAACGGCGATGCTTTCAAGGCGCACTTCCGCAATGTCGTCCGAGGAGGTGTGCCATTCGAAGGCCTTTTGTCGGGTGCTGAATGTGAAGAGGCTCTGGCGTACGTGCAGCGGCAGGATACATGGCTTCTGTATAAATGTAGCGAGTGCGGGTCCGTCATGTAATTGTGTTATATAGCCAATGAATGTTGTACTTCGTCGCATGCTGAAAGAATTCACAGAAGTCAGGTGACCGCGACTGCACGGGGCTCTGTTGATTGATGGGAAAGCGTAACGTTGAATGTGACCGGTCGCGTTTGGCGTCCTGGCTTCGCATCTCGTCCTGTCCGATCTTCCACCGCTTGCCTCCTTCCCCATTCCCGTCTATCGTTATATTCTATTTAATTATGGCTGCTGACTCGGCTTCTGGCTCACACTATACGACTAAACGTACCAAACTGGCCGCCAAGGCTCAACCTAGTAAACCCCTGCGGCTCGGTTCAGCTTCGGGCAACAGAAATCCGCTCTCCGTGCCCGGCACAGTCTCATATGCGCACAGAGCCAAAGCAGCTCCGGCGCCTGCTGCCACTGTGTACCGCAGCGTGCTCGGGGAGGTATCAGAGGCCGCTGTCAAGACCTCGCTTTCCCAGCAGTTTCTGGGCGTCGTGCCGCCGCCGCTCAAGAAGAAGAAAGGTGTGTATGGTCATGAAGACGATGTACTCCTTTTTGTTGACGTATTCACTGTAGTCTCCCCTCTCGTTGAGGAGGACGCGCTGAGCATCGTCTCGAGCGAAGCGCATGACCTCACCTCGGAGTGCGCTTCGGAGGTAGAGGGCGAGGCCGACTCTTCAAGCGCAGACGACAACACGGAGGAAGCGAAAGCAAAGGAAGCTCCAGAAGACCAGCAGAAGCGCAAGCTTGAGACGGTAAGATACTACTCTACCTGAGAAGCGTCTTGAAGCTGATTCGGTCGCAAGGCGTATCCTATTCTCGGGTGGCTAGGCAAGGACGAGATCTTCTTGCGCGAGATGATCAGGCGCAAGGGCCAGGGCGACGCCTTCGAGCTCGAAGAATGCCCGGATTGCGGCTTACCCGGACGTCCAGAGTACAGCTGCGGCGAATGCGAGGCAGCAGACCTTTGCCGTGAATGTATCATCAAATGGCATCGCTATCAGCCCTTGCACCCGATCTTCGTAAGTCGCGTTTCTGAACTACTGCTTACTGCCGTTGACGCCTGTCTCTAGCGGCATATTGCAGGTCGACCGGAACGCATGGACCCTGCCGATCTCGGACTCAGGATCCAGCTCGGTCACCGGCCAGGCGTAGACTGCAAATGGCGCGAATCTGCGCACGTCAATAATTTCACCGTTCTCCATACCACCGGTCTCCATCGCATACGCGTCGACTTCTGCAACTGCGACTTGGGCAAGGGCACGCCGCGATACGTACAGCTGCTCCGACGGGGGCTATGGCCATCTACGGTCGAGAACCCGCAAAGCGCTACGACTTTGCAGGCGCTGGACGACTTCACCCGGCTGTCCAATCTGGGACGACTTACCGCTTACGACTACCACCGCGCCGCGTCAGCAAAGACAGACGGGGCTGGGCTTCGAGAACTGCCGGTACGTTTTGCATCGACATGACCTGAGAGCGAGTGCACCTGCTGATCGCTATGCGTAGGACTTCCTCCAGCAGTTTATGACTGCGATCCACGAGTACCGGCACATAATGATGTTCATGCGCGCGGGCCGCGGGCACGAGCCGAAGGGTATTGCGGGTACAGGGCCCGGTCTGTGCGTTGTTCGGTGTCCGGCGTGCCCGGACAAGAACATGAACCTGGAGAAGGGGTGGTCTTCTCGGCCCCAGCAGTACGTCAGCCCTGGTATTCGAGAGATCGTCCGGATCGACTAACTCAAACTGTGTTCACATAGGTGGCTCTACCGCGGCGTATACTCACTGGACGCCAACTTCCGCCTCTCCAATCGCCTCTCACGCTCTACGAACAAGACGGACCCCTACCTCAACCATGGTTGCGCATATATGCCGCCTGCGCAAGACTATCTTGACCACCTCGACCAAATGGATAAGGTGGATATCGAGGAGGTCAGTGTTCGCTCCGTCGCTAGACAACGTTGCTTGACGCTGACGCTGACCGTCAACGATCAGCCCAGCGACTGCTCGCGCTTCGGAGCCATCAATCAAGCGAACATGAAAGCTGGCCGCGGTCTCAGGACGACGGGAATGGCGGCCGTTACCTGCAAGCACGAGTTCTGGCAGCCCAACGGCATCACAACGCTGCGTAAGGGCGAGCGGTGCGTATAGACTCTCTAAGTGTTTCCGCCGCTTTCCTTGCTGACGTCCACCCAGATACGTGAGCGTCGACTACGCTTTCTGTGGTGCCTTAAAGCACAGCGGCGCACCGACCGTGTTAGTCACTTATGACATCGCCTGCCAATGGCACAAGAATCTACGCAAGCGTCTGGAGAAGATTCCGGCTCAGCGCGAGATCTACGCGGGCGCGATGGCGATGCTGGATTTCATCTTGAAGGACAAGGCGACCTTCTGTGTGCCCAAGTTCCACTTGTACGCGCATAAGCTACTCTGTCAGATCAGCTACGCCATCGGCTGGATGATTGGGACAGGAGCGCTGGACGGTGAAGGGCCCGAGCGCTGTTGGTCTGGAACGAACGGCGCAGCGTCGAGTCTTCGGGAGATGGGGCCGGGTACTATGCACGACACGATGGACGATATTTGTGGGTCGTGGAACTGGGTCAAAGTCTGCGGCATAGGTCAGTATACTCGTCTACGATGGAGTTCAGGCCGAGGCTGATCGGAGTTACAGGTCTTTCTCTGGCGGATCGAATGTGGCGCGCGGTCTTGGAGGGACGTACGCAGAGCGCAATCTTCACAGAGTTCACGGATGCTCTCAAGTCGGAGGAGCCTGAGGCGGTGGAGAAATGGTTGAGGAAGGCTGAGTTGTGGGAGGAGAACCGGACGAAGAACAAGAATCCTTACCAGCCGAAGAAGAAGTGTACGTTCGCGAACCTAATTTCCATTGTTCTATATATACTGATAGACGAACAGCAACTACCATCAAGCAGATCCAACTCGAAAGCGTCTTAGCTCAGGGGCACGCCATGACGGCTTTGGCGTCTCACGTCGGCATCGAGGACGCTGCTGGCTTGAGCGGCGCAGCGTCTAGCTTGGAGGCTGCGTTGGCTGACAGCACCGCGGCGGATGCGGAGAGTAATACAAAGAAGGGGAAGGGGAAGGACAACGGGAAGGGGAAATCAAAGGGACGGAAGGATAAGGGGGCGGGGAGGGAAAAGTCTTCGACGGCGCCTGCGGTGACCACGAAGAGCTCAGAGGCGGCTCATGGTTCAACACAGCCGCCACATATTGACTCGGAGCTCGCGACAAGCACCTCCACTCCAATGAGTTCGCCGGGTGCTTCGATTCCTAGTCAGGCGGCGGGCAAGGCGGTACCGGGCGAAGGCACAGCAGGCGAGGCGATTAGCGCGCAGCTAGCGCGAAGCAGCGTGAAACGCAAGGCCCCGGATACTGACGGCGCCGATTACGTGCTTCCTGAAGCAGTGGATTGGGAGGAGGATGGGGAGAATGGGGAGAATGCAGGACACGAGCACGACGGCGTTGGCGTTGAGATAGAAGGGGATGTTGACGAGGTCGTGGCGCAAGTGAATTTCTTGCTTCTGGCTCTGCAGATCGAGGGCGATCAGTACGTTCGTCGTTGCCAATGTGTGCTTACAGTACTGACCTTTGCGTAGATATCGCCTTGACAAGAAGAACGACGAATTTGGCGATACGCTCACGCAGAATACGACGAGGGCAAAGGCGTTGAACGCGCTTGTCCGCAACATCGAGCGATTCCGCGAGGACCAAGAGCGCCTCATGCCCCGTGTGCACGCTACGCTGTCGACAGAGGAGCGTAATCCGGAGCGGGCCACCGCGGTCTCCATGAAGCTATGGCTACCCTCGGATTTGGACCGGACAGACGACTGTGTACCTTCGGCGCTTCGTGCCCTCGAAATCCGCATATTATGGGCCGCCATGTCGGACGCGTTGGAAGACCTTATGCACCAACTACGCTTGCGCGGCTGCCTGAATCGCTTCAAGATCCTGAACATCTCGGGCCAGAGAGCGAATACGCGCGCGAGAACGGCGCAGGACGCGGTGGACTGCAACGTCAAGTTTTACGCCAATATGTATGTTAGGCGCAAGACTAGAGGGTAACAGCCAAGGTCACTGGGTGACAACTGCTAGGACTAGG